CGAATAAGTGAATGGTTGAGTAATTAAGCCTGAGTGAAGAACAAACTAATAAATTGCAGACCTCTTCAACCGTTTCCTTTCCCATGGTTCTGCCTTAACTCTGCCTCTCTTTCTCACTCCCTGCCCTGGTGCAGGCCCACCAGCCTCCTAATAGAACACCCTATCTCCAGTCTTGGCCTCCCCTGGCCTATCCTTGTTCCCTCACCCAGCCAGTGAGATCATCTCAAAACCTGGAGGTGACCACATAACTCCTCTGCTCCAAAATATTCAGTGGCTCTCCAGGGCCAAGGGGGAAAAAAATCAAATTCTTAGCACGACATCCAGATAGGACACTGTCAACCCATTGTAGGTACCTCTCTTACCATCTTTCTTTTGGGCACACTTCCTCTTCCTGAGGCACTCTTCAAAGTTCAAAGTTGCAAATATTTTTGAGAAAAGTGAATATAAGCCCCTTTTACCTCTGTTGGTTTGATAAGACAACATCAAAGTGCTAAGTATTTAAGGAGGTAGCAGTACTGACAAGGCTGAGGGGATGGGCATAAAGGAAGACGGAAGGACAATGCTTGTGGTTAAGCATTAGGCTCAGGAGTCACATAGGGCTGGGTTCAATGCTGGATCCTCTCTTTACTAGCTCTGGGATCTCAGGCTGATTGCTCAGTCTCACACCAGTGCACCACTAAGTTTACAAGAGCAAGGAGGTATTCATCCAGAGGTCAGCCAGGCAGGCTGGCTGTGGGGCTGCCAGAGACCCCTGGCCAGACACCTCTGCAAGAGTGACTAACTACCTTGTTTGACTGGGACTGGAAGGGTTCCCAGGACAAAATATTTTTAGTTTTATTTTTATTTTTTTTAATAATTTTTTTAAATTTTTATTTATTTATGATAGTCACAGAGAGAGAGAGAGGCAGAGACACAGGCAGAGGGAGAAGCAGGCTCCATGCACCGGAAGCCCGACGTGGGACTCGATCCTGGGTCTCCAGGATCGCGCCCTGGGCCAAAGGCAGGCGCCAAACCGCTGTGCCACCCAGGGATCCCTATTTTAGTTTTAAAACTGGGGAAGTCTGGGCAAACGGGGACTACTGGTCACCCTGTACCTTTGGCTCCTGTCAGCCTTGAATATTTCATCCAGTGTGCTGTATAAGCATTATTTTGCCCATGAGCCTATGGTATGGAGAAGGCTGGGAAGCTCGGTTTCTTCATCTGTAAAATGAGGATGCTAAGAGTGCTTACTTCATTTGACTGTGTGAAGATTAAGTGAATAAAGCAGAACCTTTTTTTTTTTTAAGAGTTTATTTATTCATGAGAGACACAGAGACAAAGGCAGAGGGAGAAGCAGCCTCCACGCAGGGAGCCCGATGTAGGACTCGATCCCAGAACTCCAGGATCATGACCTGAGCCAAAGGCAGACACTTAACTGCTAAGCCACCTAGGCGTCCCAAAGCAGGACCTTTTGATCCTGCCCTTTGACCCAGCGACATGCCCAGATTCTAAGTCTTTGCCAATCGGATGCCCTCCCCTCAAGATTAAAACAAGCAAGCAATGCTATCCACAAATTATCTGCCAGTGTAACAAATGTAAGGTAATAGCACTCCATGTTAAATTGGAAAAATAAATGAAAACTTCTAACCTTAAAAAATAACTATCATTGGGGCACTGGGTGGATCAGCCGGTTAAGCATCTGCCTTCAGCTCAAGTCATGATCCCAGGGTCCTGGGATAGAGCCCCTTGTTGTATTGGGCTCCCTGCTCAGCGGGGAGCCTGCTTTTTCCTCTCCCTTTCCCCCTGCCTCGTTGCTCCCCCTACTCGTGCTCTCTCTCAATTGAATCAGTAAAATCTTTAAAAAAATTAACTATTGTCATTGCTGAGTGATTACTAAGAGGACTCCAAGAGCAGCAGCCCCCACCCACAGACAACTCTCAAAAGGCTCATGTGTGCTGTTTTCCACCCAGAGGAGGGACGCTGAGTCCATGGCTTGGAGGAAGAAGAAAAAAATCAGACTGTATGGCATTGTGGCATTGGAACATCCTCTCCTGTTGTCAGAAAGCCAAAAGGCTATAAATAGCATTAGCAGCACTGACAGGACAAAGGAACTTACCTTTCACCAGCTAAGATGCGGCAACCGTGGCATCCGTAACAATATGATGATTATTTTATTATTGCTGCTGCCAAGGTTACTGGAAAATTTAAATCTGTGAAAGGCCATGAGTTCACAATGACAACACAAATAAGAAAGTCCCAATTAGAAAAAGAGTACAAAAACCGGTTGAAACGCACAAAGAATAGTGCAAGAATAGTGACTATTATAGGGGGATCCCTGGTGGCGCAGCGGTTTGGTGCCTGCCTTTGGCCCGGGGCACGATCCTGGAGACCCGGATCGAATCCCACGTCGGGCTCCCTGCGTGGACCCTGCTTCTCCCTCTGCCTGTGTCTCTGCCTCTCTCTCTCTGTGTCTCTATGAATAAATAAATAAAATCTTAAAAAAATAAATAAAATCTTAAAAAAAAGAAAATCAGATGTATATAATATTGAAAGCTTCAAAAAGTCCCCTGGATCAAACTGTACTTGATAAAAATAATGAGCACCCATAAAACTACAGTGGCAGATATGAAATACCAGTAACATTTGTATGGATCAAACTTGAATGATGAATTAAGCACTCCTTAGAAAATTTGCCCATGGGTGCTCGGGTGGTTCCATGATTGAGTGTCAGCCTTCAGCTCAGGGCATGATTCTGGGGTCTTAGGATCCAGTCCCTGAACAGGCTCCCTGAAGAGAGCCTGCTTCTCCCTCTGCCTATGTCTCTACCTCTCTGTGTGTCTCTCATGAATAAATAAATAAAAATCTTTTAAAAAATTGTCCAGGAAAGAATTGACTCATATAAAAATGACTTAGTAAAATTAAAAATGAAAAAAATTACAAGTGAGTAAATCTCATTGTAGAGAAAATTAAACAGGAAATTAATTAATCTTATTTCGATGTTTTGCATTGTGCAGTATTTTAATTAAGACATTTTCATTTCATTTATATTCTTTGGTGGGTTTTTTTTCTCTCTCTTTGAAAACTTTTTATTATTATTAAAACTTCAAACAATACATAGGCCTACCAGCACTCTCATCCTGGATACCAGATAGCTTCAGCCTTGGAAAGCCTATATAAGAAAATACTTGTTACACATCCTTTTTAACTCCTAGGGGAATCTTTAGCAGGGAACAGAGAAGAAGCTCTAACTCTGAAAGTGGGTCACAGGTAAAAGATCTCCCCACCATCTATCCCACAAATACGGTGATATAAATCCCTATGGAAAAGAGAGGTCAATGTGGGCTGCAGCTTCTTGCCCCCTCTCCTTAATTTTAGTCACACTCTTTGTACAAGCCCTGCCATAATTTCCTTCATTCTTAAATGTATGATCGTCTCAGCTGAATTTATAACTAATCTAACCCCAAATGAACCCAATTACCCCAAGCAAATCCACATCTTAGATTTCCCAGAATCCTCTTAATTTCAAACATTTTATCCTATATATCATAAATATGCTCTTATTTGCTAGACTATGTACATTTCAATCACCTTACCCTGAATATAACAACGTACTCATGTTTGCCTCAGGTTTCTGTCCTTGGCTGTATCTCGATTTGGAGGTTTACAGAATTTCCATAGGTAAGGGGTGGCAGGCAGGCTATGTCTGGCCCACAGATATCTTTTCTCTGGCCCACATGGTGTTTTTAAATTTTTAAATTTACCCGCACTTAAAATTCAGAACTTTTTACATAAAAATCAAAATTTCTGGCGTCTGCTAAAAATATAGCAGAACATATTCCTTGTCAGTTGCTATTCGTCGTTATTTTGTGTGGTTATTTTTGTCACCGTGGAGAAAAAAAAATTAAATTAATAAATAAATAAAATAGATAAATAAATAAATAAATAAATAAATAAATAAAATCCCCTCTATTATCCAACCTACTACATTTACAGTTTTCCTGCCTGACTCACATGTCAACTTGAGTTTGTGCCCCAATTCTAGAATGTTCAGGAAGGTACAGCGACTACACTGGTGGATGAAATCAGACCACTTAGCATCTCGTTGCCTCGGCTACCTCCTTTGTTAAAACCGAGACCGTAGCGGTATCCACTTCACCGGACTGAGTTGCTAAATGTGATTTAAGACACGGCCTGCAGTTTTCGAAAAATAAAATGGCCCAGAAACCCAGGGACCGTACCTATCTCATTCACTGTTGAATCCCCCTGACCAGCACATAACTTCGAACAAAAGAGGCAGCAATACACACTTTTTACCAAAATAAGTGAGGCATGAGGGAGCCTAACAATCTAGCGAAGGAGCTGACCGACGTGTTCTCTCTACAGGAGGGACAGAACACTGCTACGTGAAGGATGGTTTAAACAATCCCGGGGGCAGAGGGGACAGGAGGTGGGCAGGGGCGTCCCGGGGGAGAGGTGTATGTTACTGCAGCCTCGCCGGGGAAAATCAGGACGAGGGAATGCCAACAAACGAAGACAACCTGGCTTTTTGTTTTGTTTTTTTGCTAATGAACTAGCAATCCCACCACGTGCCTTGCAGACAGCGTGGCCAGGTCACCGAGTGCGCAAGCGCCGCACGACGACGAGGCGAAGTCGCCGAAGCAAGAATTTTGCGGGGGGGGGGGGGCTGTGTAGATTAAGGCGTCGTCTGATTGGTGACAGTTTGGCGGGAAAAGGAAGACGCCGAACAAAGGAAGTGACGTAAAGTGTCGTTCACGGGAGGGGGATTATACGGCCGGAGATTCGTAATTGTCATTTTGATTGGTTGTTACTTTGAGAAACGGCCCTATCAGCCTCTCGCCGCTCCTTGCTTCCGCCTGCGCAGCTTGTTTTGCCCTTAGTAAAAATGGCCGTAGAGGCTTCCGGCCCCATCGGAAGCAGAGTGCGCGTTTTCTTAAGACAGGAAAAAGCGACGAGTTCGTGAGCATTGATTGGCTGAACCCAGAAGCGTTCTGGACGCTGGTTGGCTCCGTCGTTCGCGGGAAGGAGTTTGTGGCACCAGCGGGAAGTGCGCTTAGCACTGCGGCCGCAACAGGGTTCTGAGGAGTCCGGCGAGCCCACCTGACGGGAGTGTCGCGGACCTCTTTCCTGAGGGAATAGTGACCGAGATGTGGTTCGGTAAGCATGAGAGTCGCAAGGAGGATAGAGCGAGAGGGCGGGGGTCGGTGAGAGGCGCGCGGCGGTGGGAGTGGAGGAGGCACAGTGTGGCGAAGGGGCGGGGGGCCGGGGCACGGCGGTGGGACAGGTTAGCGCGGTGCTGGGGGTGCTTGGCCGTGGGGGGAGTGTGAGGGGGCCTGGGTGTGTCGAGAGAGAGGCTCGGGAAGCAGCGCGGGCACTAATACTGCCGTTTCAAACCAGGCGGATCTGAGAGCTACAGCAGCTCCTCCTTTAGCGGAGCCGGCGGCTACACGCAGTCCCCGGGGGGCTTTGGATCGCCGACACCTTCGCAGGTTGAAAAGAAATCAGTAGGTTGAAAGAGTATTTCGTTTTCTTTCTTTCTGTCTTGAAGCTCCTAACACCCCTGGGAGAAACTTGATGCGGCGAAAGATTTCAAACCTGAACTGGTTGGATAATTAGCAATTATTGCCCTACCGAATCTTAGCATTAAGTGCTAGAAGTTTGTTTTGTTTTTTTTTTTAATGAACTTTCTCCTACATTCACTTCCACTGCTGAATAGGCTTTATTTTGATTTTTTTTTTATTTATTTATTATAGTCACAGAGAGAGAAAGGCAGAGACACAGGCAGAGGGAGAAGCAGGCTCCATGCACCGGGAGCCCGACGTGGGATTCGATCCCGGGTCTCCAGGATCGCGCCCTGGGCCAAAGGCAGGCGCCCAACCGCTGCGCCACCCAGGGATCCCGAATAGGCTTTATTTTGAAATTTACCAATGTAGTTAATGAATCAGTCTTGTGGAAAAACTGGACTTGTATTAGCCTACTTTGCATTTTTCATGTATTCGATTTTTTTTTTTTTAAAGCAAAGTGATAGAAGCAGAAACACGGAGAAAGCTCTCAGAAGTGAGAAGGGTCCCGACAGGGTTGCCCTAATTTTTTTTTAAAATTAAATGTAATGAAGTGATAAAAAGCGGTGGAAAGAGCATGTTCTTGGATAGATCTATGTGCTACCATTGCTCCAACACTACTTACAGGGTTTTATTGGGCAGATTTCTTAACATTGGGAATCAGATGGGAATGCTACTAAATGGGATTATTATTATTATTATTTTTTTTTATGATAGTCACAGAGAGAGAGAGAGAGAGAGAGGCAGAGACACAGGCAGAGGGAGAAGCAGGCTCCATGCACCAGGAGCCTGATGTGGGATTCGATCCCGGGTCTCCAGGATCGCACCCTGGGCCAAAGGCAGGCGCCAAACCGCTGCGCCACCCAGGGATCCCCTAAATGGGATTAATAATACATACCTTACAGGTTGTTGTGAGACTTAATATTCTAGTTTATGGTATATATAAAGTGTCTGCCCTGTAGTCACTTTGAATAAATGGTCCCAGATTTCTTTTTTCGTTTTCTTTTTTTTTTTAAGTTTTTATTTAAGGAATCTCTACACCCAACGTGGGACTCAAACTCAGTGATAGAGGCCGTAGATTGAGTCACATGCTTTTCTGACTGAGCCAGCCAGGCACCCCTGATCCCACATATTTTTGTTAAAAAGAACACGAGTGTTGGACCCAGAATACATAGTGTCCAGAATCACCTTCTCACTGGCAGTATCTTTAGTGGCGCAACTTGAACCTTGTGACCCTTGGTATTTCTCATCTGATACTGGTACTAGTACTACTTAAATCACAGGGTGGTTCTGAGAATTCATAAATAAGGTAATGTATGGGGAAGCAATCTGTAAAAAGATGTCCAGATTCTTGTTATTTACCCTTTCAGAAATGAGTTTGCATTTCACAACTACTGTTGATTTCATCCTTTAAATGCAAGGTTGATTTGGCTACTCTGTTAGGTGTCCTTCAGATGTGGTGTTGAGATTCAGTATTAGCAGGTTCTATGGTTTTTATACAGATTGAAAAGCGTTTACCTAAACCGTTAATTCAGGGGTGTGTGTCGGTGGGAAAGAATTCATTGATAATTCCCATACATTTGGACGTTGCTTTATATTTTTCATACAATTTCATATAATCATTCCATAAGGTATTGTTTACTTCCTTAAACAACAGAGGCTCTGGGAGATGGAGGGACTGCCTAAGCTTCTATAGCTAGTAAGTAAGTGGGACTAGATAGTACACACGGGACACAAATCCAAAATCTGGTGAGCAGCTTCTCTATTGCAGTTTTCTTTTTCCCAGGAAGACCAGAGGGGACTCTCATACTCTTTGTCTTCCCTAAGGATGTGAAGAAGAAAGCAAAAATTAGACCATTGGTTTTCATCTTTTCTAAGCTTGACTGTTTTCTTCATTCTAGTTGATAGAATTTTTCTCTCAGATCCCTAACTTGGACTGTGTATTAAGACAGCTTTTCAGAAGAGAGTGATGATGGTTATAAGCTGGAAACTCAAACCAAGATCCTTTTGTTTTTAAATCTAGTGCCTTTTCCACAGTAAATTAGATAAACACCCTATCTAAAAGGTTTCCTATCTACTGTAAACCTGTTACATTTTATTGAACCATGTGAAATTTTCAGTACTGACCACTTTTTACCCATAAAAATGGTGTTTTCATACAGTGCTGTCAGAGTAACCTGTGATTCATAGTCAGCTAGAAAATAATTTTTAATTTAAATATTCTTTTTTTTCTTAATTTTTATTTATTTATGATAGGCACACAGTGAGAGAGAGAGAGGCAGAGACACAGGCAGAGGGAGAAGCAGGCTCCATGCACCGGGAGCCCGATGTGGGATTCGATCCCGGGTCTCCAGGATCGCGCCCTGGGCCAAAGGCAGGCACTAAACCGCTGTGCCACCCAGGGATTTAAATATTCTTATCCTGGCACACTCTGTGAATCTCTTGGAACAAACCAGGGACTCCTTGCAATCATAATAGGTGCTTGTTAGAAAACGAGTATCTGTGATTTGAGATAAATTTGAAGGTATAGGTAACACCTCAGGCATTACCCATATGTAATTTTTTTTTAACTGAGGAATGATAATGTTTGTTGAATACATAATACACGTAGAAATCAGCATTAGTATTTTTATATACATTGTATGTTTTGTTTAGAATTTGAAAGGTGGATGTCCACTTGACAGAAGAGGTGGTGGCATGTCCAGGGCTATGGAGCTGGGATTGAACACAGGTCCATAGGACTGTGTGGCACCAAAGCACATGTTCTTGTTCCTGTTCCCAGTAGTGGTTCTTAGTTTTCTTACGCTGAAAATACAATGAAAATCTCACCTGTGAGTGGAAACGGAATATATAGTAGTGAGAGCTAAAACATGACCTCAGCAAATTTTCAGTCTATAAATACCAATATCACATGTAACTTCACTTATAAAATTCCATAAGGTAAAATTGAAAAGCATTTATTGATTCTTTCGCATCCTTATTAAAAGCTATTGCAGATATAAACAGCGAGGAACACTGACAGAATAATTGCTAACATTTTTTGAGTTCTTATGATGTGCCAGGTATTATTTGAAGTACTATACCATATACTTAATTTTCATCAGTTTATCATTCCTAGTTTTACAGATAAGAAAACTAAGATCCAAATGAGTTGAAAAACATGACCATGAGCACACTGCTCCTGAGTGATAAAGCCATAATCTTAACCCTCAAGCCTTTTGTGACTTGTGCTGGTAATTGGCAGGGCTTACGTTATACCATCCTGGCAATGCTCATCATTCAAATTTATGCTTCAGCAGAAGGAAATGTTGCTAGTATCATGGACCTTCAGGACAAGGCTGTAACTGCTAAATCCCTGAGTGCCAAGATTCCATTATATTCTGTCTTACATGTAGAATAGCTATCAAGTTCTTGGTTTTTGACAGGAAGAACTCTAATTTTTAATCCACCATGCATTGTCTTCCTTGTAGTTATTTCCTAAGTGAGTTTGTAAGAGTGCATATTTACCCTTAGCCTGTAATGCTTATCCCTTACTGTTATTTTCACTGTCAGTGTTTTCATATTTCAAGGTAGAGCATGAATGCTACTTCTTGAAAGTGCAAATACGTTTTTTGGGGTCCCATGTAGTGCATCTCATTCTATGGTATATCGATACTAGGTTTGTTGTACCTCCATTAGGTAGGAGTGTGTTGAGGGCAAATCTTATTACTTTTTTTTTATCTTTATGCCATGACACAAGCCCTGGCCAGTGGCAGGTGACAATAAGAGTTTATACTGTTGTTAGGCTGCCTTTTTTTTTTTTTTTAAGGCTGCTTTTGGATTGGATTTCAGTGTCCTCATTAGACATTCTTTTGCTCAACACATTGTGTCCTTTCCCTTTAAGATGTCCAGTGTGGCCAAGCCTTTATCCCATTTTCCCCAGACTTCCATCCAATCTTGAGAGCATCTGTCCTTAAGAGAAAGCTATACATCTAACTTTTGTTACATTTTATTACAAGATTTAGAGCAACTCTAAAACTCTGTCTCTGCTAGCCATTTCTCGAACCCTTTCCAAATACCACCTAAAGTAATTAGTAGTAGCCACTTCCAGCTTGCCTTCATCCTAAAACTGAAGTTTGTTTTATTCCAGGGGTGCCTGGGTAGCTCAGAGATGGTTAAGCATCTGCCTTCAGCTCAGGTCATGATCTTGGCGTCCTGGGATGGAGGCCCTTATGGGCCCTGCTCAATGGGGAGTCTCCTTCTCCCTTTGCCCCTCCCCCTGCTCACATGCTCTCTCTCTGTGTATCTGTCTCTCAAATGAATAAATTTTAAAAATCTTTAAAAAATTTTTTTTTTCCAAAAGCAGGTCAGGTCATCCTTCCTTATGTTGTCGCCACTCTGGCTTGTTTGTTCTAGTGAATCCATAGTGCCAAAAAATTTAACCACTGATAAGGAGCTTTGGAGTCAGGCACACCTAGTTTGAATTCAAAAATGTGGTATGTGTTAGCTATATGACCTTGGTTTTCATCTCTGTGAAGCAAGGGTGATGACATTCATTCTGAAGATTCAGTGTTATGTATGTAGAGTGCTGTGCTTGCTTCAGCAGCACATATACTAAAATTGTAAAGTGCTTGGTACATGAAAGGTGTTAATGGGTGGTAATATTATTTTCTTAATTGAATTTATACATATTTTTTATTTTCAGAGAGCCCGAGCCCAACACATTGTACCCTGTACCATATCTCAGCTGCTCTCTGCCACTCTAGTTGATGAAATGTTCAAAATTGGGAATGTTGAGATTTCACAGGTAAGTAAAATAGGTCATGGAAGAGATACTTCATCATATGAAAAATGAAATAAAAGTTATTTATTTAAAAATACATAAATGTTGTTTTAGTTTCCAGGAAAACCAAACTTTTTTTTCCCTTCTGATCTAGGTCACTATTGTGGGTATAATCAGACACACAGAGAAGGCCCCAACCAACATTGTATACAAAATAGATGACATGACAGCTGCACCCATGGATGTTCGCCAATGGGTTGACACAGACGTAAGCAGTTATTTTTGAATTAGAGTGGTCTTACTTTGGGACTCTGGAGATGGGGATCTTTTTTAGTCTTTTTAATTTCTTAGTATAAAAATAATTTATAAGCAAGGCATCAAAGGCAGAAACCCTAAAATGAAAAGTTACTACATTTGATTTCATAGAAGTTTAAAATGTTCCAAACCCTACTATACTAAAAGCAAAGTTAAAAGGCAAGTGACAGAGACAATAGAATACAAACTGTGAAAACAGGATTTTTTGTTGTTTTGATTTGTTAGAGAAGGAAGGAGTAGTAGGACAGAGGCAGAGGGAGAGAGAGGATCTGAAGCAGTCTCCACACAGGGTTTGATCTCACAACCCAGCTATCATGACCTGAACCTAAATCAAGAATCAGACACTTAACCACTGAACCACCCAGGTGGCCCACCATTTTTAATTTATTAATTTAGCATAGAAAAAAAAGAATGACAGCATCCACTTCTGATAAGAGTGGTAGGTAGCACAGTGCCTCTGCCACTTAGTAGGTACTTACTAAATATTTGATGAATGATTTGTCATTGTTTAGGGAAATGGATACCATTCGACCTTGATGGTTTGAGTATGAACTGATAAAACCTACCTCAAAAATTAGCTGGTGAGGGCAGCCCAGGTGGCTCAGCTCTCAGGTGGAGACCCCGGATCGAGTCCCACATCGGGCTCTCTTCATGGAGCCTGCTTCTCCCTCTGCCTGTGTGTCTGTCTGTCTGTCTCTCATGAATAAATAAATAAAATCTTTAAAAAAAAATTAACTGGTGATCAAAATCATCCATCATAAAAATGTTGATCTAGCACTCCACTGCTAGAAGTTTACATTAAGGAAATAATTAAAGATGTATGCTGAGATTCAGTTGTAAGAATGTTGATCATAGCATTGTTTATTATAATAAAAAATTAAACAATTTCAGGGGCACCTGGGTAGCTCAGTTGGTTAAGTGTCAGACTCTTGGTTTAGGCTCAAGTCATGATCTCAGGGTTGTGAGATTGAGCCCCCAAATTGGGCTCTGCACTCAGCAGGGAGTTGGCTTCCCTCTCCCTCTCCCCTTTCCTCACTGGCCTGTGCCCTCCTCCCCCCCCCCCCCCGATCCTTTTTTATTTATTTGAGAGAGAGAGTGTGCACAAGCAGGAGGGAGAGGGAGGATCCTGGGATCATGACCTGAGCCAAAGGCAGACGCTTAATCAACTGAGCCATTCATGTGCCCCTTCAAATCTTTAAAAAAAATTTTTTTCCCCTGGGACTTCAGCTCAAGTCATGATCCCAGGGTCCTGGGACTGAGTTTGCATCAGGCTCCCTGCTCAGCAGGGAATCTGCTTCTCCTTCTCCCTCCACCCCTTCCCTACCACTGTGCTGACTCTCCCAAATAAATAGTCTTTTTTTTTTTAAATATTTTTTTTAAATTTTTTTATTTATTTATGATAGTCACAGAGAGAGAGAGAGAGAGAGGCAGAGACACAGGCAGAGGGAGAAGCAGGCTCCATGAACCGGGAGCCCGATGTGGGATTCAATCCCGGGTCTCCAGGATCGCGCCCTGGGCCAAAGGCAGGCGCCAAACCGCTGCGCCACCCTGGGATCCCTTTTTTTTTTTTTTTTTTTAAGATTATTTATTTATTTAGTCATGAGAAACAGAGAGAGAGAAAGAGAGAGAGGCAGAGACACAGGCAGAGGGAGAAGCAGGCTCCATGCAGGGAGCCCGACTCGGGACTCGATCCCGTGACCCCAGGATCATGCCCTGGGCCAAAGGCAGGTGCTAAACCGCTGAGCCACCCGGGCTGCCCATAAATAGTCTTTAAAAAAATAAAAAATAATTTTCAAAATGCAAGCAATAGAGCACTATTAAACCATGGTATATTTATGATACATAGCTGGTGATAGAGAAATGTATATACTGTCACAAAGTGTTTTTTGATGATGTACATAACATAGGAATTTGGAACTGGAAGTTGTCTGTAGAAGCCTTTCTATTCTAATGTCTGATTTTTTAAAAAGGTAAATTCTAAAAGGCAGGCAAACTAGTTAGTGCCACATGAGGATTCTTTTGTGCTCTTACTATATAATGCTCTCTTTCCATATATAATTTAGCAGATTTTTTTTTTAATTGAGCATTTTTAAAATTTCACTGGCATCCCTAAAACCTTAATGTGATGGGTTTGTATTTATTTTTTAGGATGCCAGCAGTGAAAACACAGTGGTTCCTCCAGAGACATATGTGAAAGTGGCTGGCCATCTGCGATCTTTTCAGGTAAAGTCAGAAGAAATAATAATTAAAATATATTTACATGAGGCAATTTCTGGAATCATTCCTGAGTTTAGGATACTTAAGATTGAACCAAGTCTTTATGTTAAATGGGAGTTAGATTGAAATTACTTCGTTATTCTCTTCAAAGAGAAATAATGGGTCTTTAGCTTAATATAAAACTAACAGAGGGATGCCTGGCTGAGTCAGAAGAGCATGCAGCTCTTGATCTCCAGGTTGAGTTCTAAGCCCATATTGGGTATAGAGATTACTTATAAAAATAAAATCTTAAAAAAAACAACAACTACTACTAATGGAATGGTAGAGAAAGAACAGGATCCCTGCCTATAATTGCCATCCGTGGCATCCACTAGGGGTAAAAGGGAGGACACTGGATTCGGAGTTCAGGAGACTATACTCTGCTTGGTTGTATAACCTTAGGCAAATTACTGAACTCTGAGCTGGTTTTGTTTTTTTGTTTTGTTTTTTTTGTCCCATTAATGACTATATTAGGGTTAACCTTGAGTTAAAAAATTTAAGTACATAACACATTTTTTCTATATTGACAAAATATAACCAAGACAAGTGCCACAGTGTTTTAACCTGAGGTTGATTTTAATGTGCTTGTCCTTTATTCCCATTTTTCTCTTTATTTTAATAGAACAAAAAAAGCCTTGTAGCCTTTAAGATCATGCCTCTGGAGGATATGAATGAGTTTACCACACATATTCTGGAAGTTGTCAATGCACACATGATCCTGAGCAAATCTTACAGCCAGGTGAGCGACTTTACTCTCAGAATTTTTCCTCCTCTCTGGAAGAACATAGACATCCACTGTGCTCTGGCTTTGATTTGGAGGGGTTGGGGGCTTTGATTTTCTTAACGTTTTGAAGGTTGAGCCAGAAGAGAGGCCTCAGTCAGTCTGCAGAACATTTTCTTCATGAACTTTGCCATGTTATTTTATTCCAAAGGAAGCACTCATGTTTTTTTCAGAATTACAAGTTCCTCTGACCCCACTGACTTGGAAGGCTGAGGCCTAAGACAATCTTTAAGTGTAGACACATAATTATATAGGCTGAGCACTTGGCTCCAGGATTATATTCAGAAAAATCCCAAGTAGGATGGCATTTTACTGCTTTTCTTCTAACCCGTTGGCTAAAACGATGCACCATTATTTTCTTCCTGAAGTTATCTTTCTTGCATCACATTGAAATTTCTCAGCATTATTTTCTGCTGTGTGAATTCCATTTGGCCAGTCTGTCTATGACCACAGAGGGTTTGTTTATTCTTGTATTAGAATGTCTTTAAAAACAAACAAACAAACAAACAAAAAAAAACAGAATGTCTTTAGATTGGGGCGCCTGGGTGGCTCAGTTGGTAGAGCATGTGACTTGATCTCAGGGTTGTGAGTTTGAGCCCCATATTGGTTGTGGAGCCTACTTTTTAAAAAAAAATGTCCTTTGATTATTCTGGTCTCAGGTTGGAAGTTTATTGGTTATAGCGTAGGAGAGGCTGGAGAACTCATGAGCCACTAAGGATGCTATTGCATCCTATTCTGTACCAAACAATTTGGTAAGCACTGGGGATACAGAGAGAAATTCATTCCTTCCTTTGAGAGATATTTATTGAGCCTGGTATGTACCAATTATTATTCTAGGCCTTTGGCAGGTCTTAACTAAGGAGTGACATGGTCTTGAGTTTTTAAAAAATTCACTTAGGCTGGGCTGATGTATGGAGTATAGATTATGAGGCACTAGAAATAGCAAGATAATTAATTTAGGATTGATAGCAACAGCTGAGATAAAAGGTGGTTGGATTTTGACATATTTTGAAGGTAGACTTCTTGGTGGGTTACATACAGGATATAAAGAGGGAGGGTTCAAAAATGACTTCTATGTTCAGGGCTTGAGCAACTAAATGAAGCCAGCACATTTGAAGGGTAAAATCCAGAGTTCTTTTGGACTTAGCAAGTATGAGGTGTCAGATATCCAAGTGGAGAACAGAATGGATGGTTGAATGTGTAGAAGTGGGTTCCAATGGAGAGGTTAGGGCTAGAGACCAAACTTTGGGAGTTAAAGCCTTGGATGAGATGAGATAGCTGGGGAGGTAAGAGGTCAGAGAGACCTAAGCTCTGGGACACACTAACCTTTAGAAGTCTGGAGTAGAACAGAAGCCACTAGAAGTCAAAAAAGTTGCCAACTGGCAGGAAGAAACCAGGAAATGTGATTCTGTAGGATATGCTTTAAAAAGTATTTAAAAAAAAAAAATAAATAAAAAGTATTTTAGAGGGCAACCTGGGTGGCTCAGTGGTTTAAGTGCCTGCCTTCGGCCCGGGCATGATCCTGGAGTCCCGGGATCGAGTCCCACGTCGAGCTTCCTGCATGGAGCCTGCTTCTCCCTCTGCCTGTGTCTCTGTCTCTTTCTCTCTCTATCATGAATAAATAAATAAAATCTTTAAAAAAAACAAACAAATAAATAAATAGTATTTTAGGAAGGAGGGGATGGTGATCAAACAAACAAATAAATAAATAGTATTTTAGGAAGGAGGGGATGGTGATCAATTGTAGAATGCTGCCTTGAAGTCAGGAAAGGTGATGAGAGAAGTCTGCTATTGGATTTGGAAACCTGGATTTTCAAAAGGGAGACTTTGATAGAGGATGGGGAAAGTGGGTTAAAAAGAATGGAATTGCATAGAAGGTTTAGGGTATTTATTACAATACTTAATGATATATGTGTATGTATCACATATTTCATAAAAATGATTTCAAAGTGAGAATGTGTAGTTAGGGAGTGGAAACTGGGAATATCGACAGTTATATTGAGGAGTAAACAAAACGCCCTGGGGCACTTGGGTGGTTCAGTCAGTTAGGTGTCTGCCTTTGGACCCAGTCATGATCTCAGCATCCTGGGATTGGGCCCATGTAAGGCTCTCTACTTGGCTATGGCTAGGAGTCCACTTATCCCTCTCATTCTCCCTCTGTGCTCTCTCTCAAATAAATAAACATCTTCAAAGCAAAACACCTCTTTCCTGCAAAGAGTTTGTATTTGAGCTTTGGAGATTCAGATCACTTAATCATAAATGCAGGATAAGTGGCAAGCACAGGGTGCTTTGAAACCTTGACATCAAGAAAGACCCCTTGAGGGATCCCTGGGTGGCTCAGTGGTTGAGCGCCTCCCTTCAGCCCAGGGCGTGATCCTGAAGTCCCAGGATCAAGTCCCACATCAGGCATCAGGCTCCCTGCATGGAGCCTGCTTCTCCCTCTCTCTGTGTCTCTACCTCTCTCTGTGTCTCTCATGAATAAATCTTAAAAAAAAAAAAAAAAAAAAAGACCCTTGGAGGAGGTGATGCCTAAACCAAGTCCTAAAGGATACATGAGGTGGGGTTACCAGGACATGAGCCACTTTAAGCAGTGTCGAGATAAGAAACAGCATTCAGTTCAGTATTATTGGATCATAAAATGTGAGGCTTCTGTCTAATCAGCAGGCAGTGTGAAGGCAGTGTTTAGCTTGAAAACAGGGGACCATGACTGGTGTTTTATTTATTCCAAACAGTAGGCATTTAATGAACATTTATGGAATGAATGCATCTCCTGACTAGATGGGATTTCTCCTAATGAGCTTCCACAGTGTTCTTATATCTGGTATAGGTACTTAACACATATAATGTTGTATCATCCTATTCATTCAGTTCAGTGGATAAAGCATGGAACACGTACTGCACCAGACCAGACACAGTATGAAGGTGGAGAGGCTGGTGGCAGGAAGTGCCAGGCCAACAGTGTAATGACTGCTGTGAGAGGGAATGGACCAAATGCTGGGGGAGCTGAGAAGGAAGAACACGGCTGACTTGGTTTGGGGCTTGTCAGAAAGCTCTACAAAGGCAGTGGCAATTAAGTTGGGCTTTGAAGGATGAGAAGTCAGTGTTTCCCAGGCAGATGAGAGGAAGGGCATTCCAGACAGGGAACAACATGTTCGAATCAGAGGCATGTTTATAGTTGGCAAGAAGTCCAGGTGCCGCTGGGGAGTGAAGTGTGTCAAAAAAGGAACTGTCTGAGGGATGCCTGGGTGGCTCAGTGGTTGAGTGTCTGCCTTTGGCTCACGTCATGATCCCAGGGTCCTGGGATCGAGTCCTGCATCAGGGTTCCCACAGGGAGCCTGCTGTTCCTTCTGCCTGTGTGCCTCTCTGTGTCTCGTGAATAAATAAATAAAATCTTAAAAAAAAAAGAACAGTCAAATAGAGATTTTTGACATCTAGTTGTGGTAGGTCTCGAATGTGTAGGTTTCTATTATTTTCACAGGCAGGGGGAGCCACCTGAAAGCTTTCCAGCAGAGGAGGGATGTGATCTGAAGCTGAACAGCAAAGGAGGTAGCAAAGGAGGGTTGACCCGAGTCAGAGAGACTAGTGGCTGAGAGGCCACTGGGAGGCCAGGATAAGGAGGGTGGACTTGACCTACGCTGGAGCTTGTGTGATAGGCTGTGGTGACAGATTGTGGGAGGTAAGTGAATGGACTCCCAGACAACTGGAGTCTGTGGGATGGGGTTAGCTTTTACTCACTGAGGTGGAATGGAGCAGGGCAAGCAGATTTGGGGAGGGTCATAATCTTACTTCAGAGTATGTGAGAGGGCTAGGTGGATGTATCCAGTCAATGGCTGGGAACAAGAATTTGGCCTTAGGAGGAGCTCTGGGATGGAATCCTGGGGGAGCTGTCAGCCTTTGGGGAGATAGGGAGAGAGAAAAGCTGGTAAGAGATACTGAGAAGGTACAGTTTGAGAGGTTAAGTGGAGAACCAGAAGAACATGCCTTCAAGAAGCCTATGAAGGGATGGGTACATTCCGAGAGGAGTGTGGTCAGTGTGTCTTTCTGAGACTGTTGGGTATGTTGGTTGAAAAGTCATTGGCTGAACACCAATAAAAAATAAATTTATAAAAATTAAAAAAAAAAAGAAATTGAACTAGGAATTCCAAACATAGAAAAAAAAAAAAAAAAGGAAAAGTCATTGGGGGGCAGCCCCGGTGGTGTAGCGGTTTAGCGCCGCCTGCAGTCCGGGGTGTGATCCTGGGGACCCGGGTCAGGCTCCCTGCATGGAGCCTGCTTCTCCCTCTACCTGTATCTCTGCCTCTTCTCTCTCTCTCTGTGTCTCTATGAATAAACAAATAAGTAAAAAATCTTAAAAAAAAAAAAAAAAAGAAAAGTCATTGGTGACTTCGTAAGAGGTTGCAGAAGTATATTCAGTAGTGAGCGTCCAAATAGTAGTGGGCTAGAGAGTCATTAAGGAGAAGTGAAATGGAAACAGTGATTATAGTCTGCTGTTCTTAAAAATTTGGTGATAAAAAAAGAATAACAGAGTCATGGGAACCATCTTTTTTTCCTCTCTCTGTCATGCTTCATGCCTAGGTGACAGTAAATGCTTGAGAGGGCAGTGAGTGAAATGGGTGAATACAGAGGATCCCTGGGTGGCTCAGCGGTTTAGCACCTGCCTTTGGCCCAGGGCGCGATCCTGGAGTCCCGGGATCGAGTCCCACATCGGGCTCCCTGCATGGAGCCTGCTTCTTCCTCCTGTGTTTCTGCCTCTCTCTCTCTCCCTCTCTATGTCTATCATAATGAATGAATGAAGAATGAATGAATGAATGAATCTTTGGAAGAAAAAGAAATGGGTGAATACAGCTTGGTGAGCATCCAGTAATGTATAGAATTATTGAATCCCTATGTTATACGCCTGAAACTAATATAACCTTGTGTGTCAACTATACTTCAATAATAAAGATTTTTTATTAAATAATTATTTATTTATTTTTAAATATTTTATTTATTTTTTCATGAGAGAGAGAGAGACAGAGACACAGGCAGAGGGAGAAGGTAAAAACAAGCCATAAATAAATAAGTGCACATTTGAATAATAAAGTACTAAGGATAAATAAAGACTATTATAGCAAATCTCCAGGTAATTTTCTTCTCAATGCTAGTTTTTCTCTGGTTCCCCTCAGCAAAAATAAGGAGCTGAGAGGTACCTTTCTCTCTGATATTCTGTGCTTCAAAGAGTCACTTTATCTTCCCTTGAAATACTTGTTAATGATGATAGTCATCCTTTCCAGTGTAAGCAATTGTTATTGGGAGAATGGCTTAAATTATTTTTGTGAGCTGCTTAATCAACAGGCTATCTAACAATAACAAGGACTGTGTTTAAATTGGTAAATTTTCTAATACTGTGAACTTCTTTCTTAATTCAGCCCCCAGCAGGGAGAGCACCTATCAGCAATCCAGGAATGGGTGAAACAGGAAACTTTGGTGGGAATAGCTCCATCCCAGCAAATGGCCTCACTGTGGCCCAAAACCAGGTAAACACTGTGTGGCTCCAAAAATTCAAGACACAGGCAGTCTTAAATTTGTTACTTCCCTAATGAGTTTCTAAGGTTAAGGACCTGAACCATTTCTTTCTCATAAAGGGTCTCAGGTTTACATAAAGAAGTTGATTCAGAGTAGTTGCTAAAATATTTCTCATTTGAATTGAATCTTCAGGTGCTGAATTTGATTAAGGCTTGTCCAAGACCTGAAGGATTAAACTTTCAGGATCTCAAGAACCAGCTTCAACACATGTCTGTAGCCTCAATTAAGTGAGTATTTGGTTTCTATCAACTGGAGCTCTAGAATTGTACCCATTTCAACTCACCAGGGTTTCCTGATAATGAGAAGTGAATTAAAAATAAAAATAGAACTGTCAGCTGCAGTCTCATTGACAGAAGGGAAGTTGTTCAGTCATGGAAACATAAAAAAAGAACTCACAATGATGGTGCTTCCCGTCACATCACTGATTAACTTGTTCATTTAACAAACAGTGATTACCATTATGGGCAAGGGATATAATTTTGTCAAAGTTGACCAGGTAAAATTTGACCTGGAGGAGTGAGATCTTTAGCTCCTGGTCCTCACATGTATAGTCCCATTGGTGTTACTGTTTCCACTGTGGAGATGTGCGTTTGACTGTCTGAACCTGAAACCATAGAGCGTCCTTCCAACATCTTCTGTTTCCATGTTAGACAAGCAGCTTCCTGATCCTGATGAAAGAATCAAACAAGCAGAGTATTTTGGTGCATGCGATAGTTACTTGTTAGTGTAACTTGATACTCTAGGTTTACACAGAAAAGAAAGGCTTGGGTCTGATTTCATTTCCTGTTTTATAAAATGAAGATATTAATTCATATCTCAGAGTTCCAGTGATGATGAGGTACAGAAACACTGTCATGTAGTAGTTGCTCTGTAAATTATTGCTGTTATTAAATAGGCAGTTAATACTATTAATATTATTAAACATGTTACTAATACTGATCCTGAGAGCCTTAAAGGGTATGAAGGTGTTCTATTGTTTCTGGAAAAGGCCTTTCCTTTATGTCCTTCAACTTTACTTCCCAGAGGGTTGGTGGGAGGAGGAACTTTGAAAAATAGGTGTTTATACTAGGAGTTTTATGTGCATGCAGACTATATTCTTAGATTCTTGTTTCAATTTGCATAGATTGGCATTTGAGTTAGGCTGTATTTTCTTGCCTTTATACCGTTTGGTAGAGGGGGTCCAGGGCAGCTCTGTTAGCTATTGTCTCCATGCATTGTTTCAGTTTTGCAATTTTACTTGCACTTCTCCCCGCAAGAGTCCCCTGTGAGCAAAATCTGTGTTTGGCCATACCCAAAAGACAGTTTACTTTCTTCTGCATCAGTTTGATAATGAGCCTTTTTTTTTCTTTCTTTCTTTCTTTCTAGGCAAGCTGTGGATTTTCTTAGCAATGAGGGCCACATCTATTCCACTGTGGATGATGATCATTTTAAATCCACAGATGCAGACTAACTGGATCTAATTGAGTACTCCAGGTATTTTCCAGCTGGACCAGATTTCATAATCTGTTGTCTCCAACTGTGCATATGTTTGGTCAGTTGACTTCTAGGGAGTAGGTTTCATCTAGAAAGGGTCTCATTTAACATCCTTTTGAAACTTAGTGCTCTGGCTTTTTGTTTTTATTTTTGTTTTTATGAAGCTCAATTTTGGGCAGTTGATGAGAATATAAACCTGGGTGGACTTTCTTAAAGTTACGAATCAGCCATTTACAACATCAGGATTGATGGAAGTGGGAGAGACATACTACCAAGAGAGTTGGGCAGTATTAATTAAAGAATACTCAGGAGTTTCTGTTCCTATAACGTTCCCTGTTGAGAGAAGATGAGCAGAACTAGGGCCTTCAGCAGAGAGCTAGCCAAAAAACCTGCTAACCTCTGCCTGGTTTTGTTCCCCCCTTTAGTTGGCTATATGGTATTATTTTCAGAATTGCACTTTCCTTCACCTTGTCATGACTGCTGCCAAAAGTGTGTTTTTATGAACATGAAGTTCTAGAGTCGTGACCTCATGAGGGGAGAGGGGAGAAAGAAATATTTCGATTTCATACAAAATCCATATGTTTAATAAAAGTTCTATTGCAGAATCTGTGGAAATGTTTTTTTTTTATTCCTAAGATGGTATAATTAATACCTTTATAATCTGAGATGTGTAGCATAGCTTGACTTGGGTTTGATATCTTGGCTTTCCCATATTAGGATCTTGGGTAGACTACGTCAGTTCTAAAGGCCTCCCATTTCCTTATTTATGAAGAGAACTGTGTCATTTCCTCATAGGTGTGTCGTGAAGATTGAGCAAAATAAGGTTTGTAAAGTATCTACCATTGCCATTAGTAGAGGTTATAAAGTGAACCTTAATCTTGACTCTAGCAATTTATGGTCACATAACTGAATTGAATATCTATCATTTAACCTCGAGATGAGACTATCCAAAGGCCTGCAGCCTTTGGTGAGCTTAATCAGTTCTATTTCTTACGAGAGAGCAAACTAGCTCAAAGATGTTTCTGACAACTCCAGAATGTAAGGTACATCTTGAATAAAAGAACTAATTCTGAGGTAAGTTAATGAGATGTAACATGCAAATAAAAATTCTATAATTGCTCTAACCTGTTTCAAAATGAAACCTACTAGCAGCCATGTGGAAAATGCCCACCATCCAGTTTCTAAAAGTGAACAACAGTCTGGTGGTTGTTTCTGTACCCGAAGAACAGTTCCTATCTAGGGAGCTATATTGATGCTTAAGAAGTCAGTCAGCCAATATGTTTACCTACAGGTTTGTCCATCCTTGATTATATCCTGAAAGAAAAGGTACTGGCTAAAAACAGGTTTAAAAAAAATCATACATTTTGGGGGTGTCTGGGTGGTGTAGTTGGTTAAGTGTCCAAGTCTTGGTTTCGGCTCAGGTCAAGATCTAGGGGTTGTGAGATTGAGCCCCACATTGGGCTCTACGCTCAGATCTGAGTCTGCTTGGATTTTTCTCTCCCTCCTTTTTTTTTTTTTTTTTTTTTAAGATTTTATTTATTCATGAGAGACACACAGAGGCAGAGACATAGGCAGAGAGAGAAGCAGGCTCCCTATAGGAGCCTGCTTTGGGACTCAATTCCATAATTCTGGGATCACACTCTGAGCCCAAGGTAGACGCTCAACCGCCAAGCCACACAGGCGTCCCTCTCCCTTTCCTTCTGCTCCTCCCCACTGTGCATGCTTGCTCTCTCAATATAAATAAATCTTTTTTAAAAAATCATCCATGAATTTGAATTTTGAATGCATAGGATACTTTTATGAGTGGTTGACATCTAGTTCTCTAGCAGTCTCAAATGGGCAAGGCAACAGAGTAATTCTGGATAGAAGTCTTTTGATTTTGAATTTGATGATTCAGCAGTTACAGACTAATTAATAATTCAACACGTATTTGTTGAGTACTAGGAATACAAAGCAAAATAAGTAATATCATTGGATTTGCTGGTTCCACATTCCCAGTAGCACAGAGTGGCTGCTTAGCAGTGCTGTATTCCCTGCCATCTTGGCATTTACGTAGCCTTGCATAAGATGTGCATAAGATTTCTGAGCACCACAGAGGCCTGTGAGGCTGAGCACAGGCAGGCCCTCCTCAGCAGAATGAAACGCCAGCCTTCTAGAGCCTTTACCGTGCTTGAGCAGGAGGCTCCTGCATTTATCACAGCCAAGCAATGATTCCAGCTTGTTCTCAGGAGAGTCTTTCTCTAGGTATACTGATGGGGAAATTAGGTGCCTTGGGAAATAGTATTTATCAGGTTTAACTATAAAAGGGCCAATAAGAAATAGTGTCTGATGTATATGAATAAATTTGGGGGTTTTTTCCCTTTTTTTTTTTTTTTAGATTTTTGTTTTAAGATTTTATTTATTTATTTGAGAGCAAGAGAGAGCACACAAGTGGGGGTGGGGGCAGAGGGAGAAGCAGACTCCCCACTAACCAGGGAGCCAAATGCAGGGCTTGGTCCCAGGACCCCTGCATCATGACCTGAGCTAAAGGCAGCTGCTTAACCAACTGAGCCACACAGGCGCCCCTTGTTTTAAGAGTTCTTTATATATTTTAGAGAGCATGTGTGCTTGTGTGTGAGCAGAGGGAGAGGAATCCTCAAGCCGACTCCCCACTGAGCTTGGAGACCAACACAGGGCTAGATCCCAGGATCCCGAGATCATGACCTGAGCCAACATCAAGAATTGGATGCTTAACTGACGGAGTCACCCAGGTGCCCTGAATGGTTTAAAAAAAATAATGCAGTTGAGGTATCTGTCTGGCTCAGTTGGTAAAGCATGTGACTTGATCTTGGGGTCATAAGTTTGGGCCCCACTTCAGGTGTAGAACTTACTTTTTAAAAATAAAGTTTTGGGGAGATCCCTGGATGGCTCAGCGGTTTAGTGCCTGCCTTCAGCTCAGAGTGTGGTCCTGGAGTCCCGGGATCAAGTCCCATGTTGGGCTTCCTGTATGGAGCCTGCTTCTCTCTCTCTCTCTCTCTCTCTCTCTATCTCTATCTCTCTCTCTCTCTATCTCTATCTATCTCTATCTCTATCTCTCTCTATCTCTCATGAATAAGTAAATAAATAAAATCTTTTTTAAAAAAGTTCTGGGACGCCTGGGTGGCTCAGAAGTTGAGCCTTCGGCTCAGGGTGTGATCCCAAGTCTGGGGATCGAGTCCCGTATCAGGCTCCCTGTGAGGAGTCTGCTTCTCCCTCTGTCTATGTCTCTGTCTCTCATGAATAAATAAATAAAGTCTTAAAAAAAAAAGTCTTTTTAAAGAAAAAAAGCTTTAAAACACAGTTGAGGGGGATCCCTGGGTGGCGCCTCCCTTTGGCCCAGGGCGCAATCCTGGAGACCCAGGATCGAATCCCACGTCGGGCTCCCGGTGCATGGAGCCTGCTTCTCCCTCTGCCTGTGTCTCTACCCCTCCTCTCTCTCTGACTATCATAATAATAAAAATAAAAAATAAAAAAAATAAAACACGGTTGAGGGAAATTCAGAACTCGATCCATTTTTGAGTATGTATCTCCAGTTTATGTTCATTTACTTAGCAGTTATTTACATCTGTTACTGTTAGCATGTTCTCTATATTATTCAAAATAGAAGTGAGAAAAGATATGAAAAATAAATATGAAGGGATGAGCAATTCTTTTCTCCCAGTATACATCTTGTGTATTCCCAGAAGTTTGTGTTCACTTTGGAGACCACTGTTCAGGGGGAGCCCCTAGCCCCACTATAACACCCTCCCCACCACCCAGTAGCTTATTCCAGAGTTAAGACAAAAGCACCCCACGGGCATTGTCTGCTTTTGTTCCCTGCCAACCCCAATTGCTCTGATAAAACATTTACAGTTGTGGTTTTCAAACATGTTTTCCTTTTATTTTTTTAAGATTTTATTTGTCTATTCATGAAAGAGAGAGAGAGAGAGAGGCAGAGACACAGGCAAAGGAAGAAACAGGCTCCATGCAGGGAGCCCGACATGGGACTCGATCCCAGGTCTCAGGGATCACACCCCGGGCTGAAGGCAGGCGTCAAACCGCTGAGCCACCTGGGCTGCCGACATGTTTTCCTTTTAAGCCTAGTTGTCCTAGCTATGAAATTGGCTTGCTTTCTTCTTGCAGCATTTGGCCACTAGAAATCCCCTTCTGTAGTAGCTGGTAGCCCTCTCTGTCCCCCTTTTGTGAGCTTGCTCAGTTTGATGCCACAATTAAATGCAGACTGAAAGTGAAAATTATTGGCATTTTGCATATTGTCTTGGCCCTAGGGATCCCATGCCAAGGAGGAACTTTTTTCCATACTTTCCTTGTTTATTGTTTGTCCCAAAATACACTTTTCCTCAGTCCTTCCATTCAGTTTAGACTGTCTCCCTGGAGGAAGGCATGGGAACTGACCCAGCAGTTTGGATTAGCTGCTTGGTAGTCACCTGGAGAAATCCATGCACAGTTCTGAAAGCCAGGAGGCCTAGAAGTGCCATGGGTCTGGACAGCCCAGAGGCGTATTAGCAAACAGAGGAAGGAGAGGCTCAGGTGTGCTCCCCAGAATCTGGGAGCTGCAGATGGACACTCCGCTCCCACCACAGCTGGAGACTCTAGGCACATTTTTGTTCATCTGACCTCTACTGACCACAGTGCTTAGTTCTGTGACTGCCTCAATCTAGGAACCAAAACCCTACCACTTCCAGGGGGTGATTCCTGTGGTCTTACCTCACGGAACAGGCCTGGACTGACCTTAGAAGCTGAGCTAGTCTCTGCATAGACACAGATTTATCTCTGTTATGTGAGGTGATGAGGCTTTCCAACCAGTCCATACACAGGTATACCTACGTGATCTAGGTCAACAGTAATGATACTAAGATTCTTATTGTTTATTCGTTCCAGGCACTGCACTAAATACCAGGGTTATCTCATTTGATCTTCAAAACAATTTTGTGAGGTAGATAACTATTTCATTTTACATGTGAAGGAACTGAAGCTTAGGTTAAAATAACTTGTTCATAGTCCTAGCTGAGAGGTGGTGCAGGGATGCTAACCCAGGCTCATGACTAGTCTGCCTCCTGAAACACCTGACCACTTAAGCTTGTTTTCTGATCTTTAAAATCAGGCCATTGTCTATCTAGAGAGTCGAGGATTTAGATAATGCTTATAAAGGGTCTAGCACACAGACCTTACTAAATGGTTTCTGTTCCTATTTTTCTAGATATCATTTTTATTCTATGGTTTTAGAGTGAAAAAATTCTTGGATAGTCACATGCAACTATTATGTGCTGCATTCTGCACAGATAACACAGCCCCTGTTCTCTCAGGGGTTAGAGTTTGGGGCGGGGGGGGTGGCGAGGGAGTGGCAAACATAAGAAAAGGCTCTCAGTGCGTTATGTTTAGCATTGAGCCCTTTTTACTGAGAGTCAAGCAACACTGTGCCGCCACCATCAAGGTTGGTGGTCTCTGATTCCTTTCTGCACCAACCAGTGAGACAGCTGGTGTTGGGGACTCAGGATTGAGTAGAATCTCCTTGGCTCCTTTGGATACCAGAGCTCTGAGGCTGAGGAGTCAAGCACAAGGTGCTGGCCCCAAACAAGCTAGCCCGTGCTAGTTCCGTGGCAGGAACCTAGAACCTCAGGAGAGCTGGTGTGTCCATCCCTTTTCAGATTGGTCCGCACGAAGCCATTTCCTGTCCACAGTCTGATTTCAGTGAGATCATGTCCAAAGGTCTTGTAAAGGCTTTGTAACGTTGGCTGGTATCTCAGATTCTCTGAGAAACAGCAGGTAAGAAGCACGGTTCCTCCAGCATTTAAAGGGTGTTCCGAAATTGCTCAAGTATTTCTTCATAATCATGGTCATCATTATCTGCAAAAGAGTCCAAGTCAGTGATGATCTTTGGCTTTAGGCAGGATCCTTCCCTTTTTAGGGTACTGGACAGGGAAGGAGTTGGTCTGGATGCTCTAAGGTCCTTGCTAGGCCAGAAACTATAAATTATTCTGTCTGAATACTGTGTAAATATTCCCCTTGCATGCCTCGGGGAGGGTAGTATGTTGGAAGATGAACTCATTTTCCTTGCCAGGACTCTGAAGCCCGTGGAGAGGGACAGTAGGGACCCTCCAACCTAAGCTCATCCTTTTTTTTTTTTTTTTTTTTTTAAGATTTTATTTATTTGCAAGAGGGAGAGGGAGGGAGCAGAGGGGCAGAGCAAGAGGGAAAAGCAGACTCGTCCACTGAGCAGGGAGCCTGATACAGGGCTCCATCCCAGGACCCCAGGATCATGACCTGAGCTGAAGGCAGATACTTCACCAACTGAGCCATCCAGGCACCCCTTGGCCCATCCCCTTAAAAGCCTCTCTGTCCAGCAGAGAGCAGCAGAAGGGGGCTGCTCATGGGTGGGGCCTTGCTGAGGGTAAGGCCAGCACAGTCAGAGGTACAAGCAGGAGCAGGGTAAGGAGGGAAGAAGCGGGGACAAGGGTGAACTGGGGCTGACAGGGACTCACCTCCATCTTCTGTGATGGACTTAGTGTGCCTGCGGTCCTTCCTGTGGCCTGAGACCTTGCTGTATGTATTTGAGCTGTCCTTGGCATTCCGTGGCAGCGTCTGCATCTTGTGCTTGAGTAGAGGGGCTTGCTGCAGTTCTAAGAGTTCAGAAGACTAAGCGAGAGAAAAAGAAAAAGTCAGGGTCCCAAGAGATGGGCAGCAGAGTCCATGAAATGTCATTTCCTTCGACTATCACTTCCTCTGCTCCCCTCTTGACTTCCTTGCCAGGGTAGGGCTCCGTGGGACCCAAGTGTTTTTGTTTCTAGTGCCTGAAATGTTCTTTGGCAGAGGAGAGGGGCCAGGATGAAAGAGGAAAGAGTTGGCTAGAGACAGGGTGCCCTGAGTTTCTTCCCCAGAGGGGATTCAATCAGTGTCCTTCACATCTGCTGCTGAAGGGGAAGAAAGCAGTCACAGAATATCAGGACAGAGTGCCGGAGCTGAGAGGGGTCCTAGAAGGAGGAGGACTTTTGTTGAACTCCTACCTTCTGCCATATGCACACCTATTCGTTTATCTTCAGGGGACCCTCTTGAGTAGCTGTTTTGAGTTCCCAATGTACCCACAAGGAAACAGGCTCAGATAGAGTGTCAGGTCATACCTCACACAAGATTGCAAGCTGGGCCAAGGTTCAGACCCAGAGCCATGTTCATGACCTCTAAAGCTTATGCTCTTTCTATGCTTTGGAGAGCAAACCATTTAGGGCCCCTGATCAGCAGTGGGAAATACTGAAACCCAGGGAAGAAAAGTTGCAGGATCAAGGGTAGTGAGCAGGGACCAGGCCCAAAGTCACTTCCAGCAGGAACAAAGGCTGGAACTGAGGTCTCTCAATTTTTTTGTACTATGTTCTCCGGTACTGTCGGGAAGGCCTGTGTTTCAGATGCCTCAGTCCAGTCTGTGTTCAATCAGAAAAGGACTGGGATCCCTGGGTGGCGCAGCGGTTTGGCGCCTGCCTTTGGCCCAGGGCGCGATCCTGGAGACCCGGGATCGAAACCCATATCGGGCTCCCGGTGCATGGAGCCTGCTTCTCCCTCTGCCTGTGTCTCTGCCTCTCTCTCTGTGATGTGACTATCATAAATAAATAAATAAATAAATAAATAAATAAATAAATAAATAAATAAATAAATAAATAAATTAAAAATAAAAATTAAAATTAAAAAAAGAAAAGAAAAGGACTGCCCTCCACCCTCCTCCACAGATGCAGTCTCCTTCTGGGGCCGAAACTGCCCGATTTGTCTTTCTCACTTCCCCTTGCCCTCCCACCATCTACCCTCACAGTACAAAATACCAGTTTCTCCAAATCCCAAAACCGTAAGCCTGTTACACTTTACAAAGTGCTTTTGATGCAAATCAACTGCTATCAGCAGAGCACTGTAGTTAGGTGCCCAGGCTGGGTGGTCAGACCCAGCTTCAAACCCCAGCCTGCTGTTTGCTGGGTGTGTGCTCTCGGGTCAACTACTTGACCTCTCTGTGCCTCTTGTGTTCTCAACTGTAGAGCTATCCATCAGTGCCTGACCTCACAGTGCCCACCTCTCAGGTCATGAGAGCTCTGTGGGGCTACGCACATAAGGAGCCTGCGACAGAGTAGACACCCAGCAGGCAGCAGCTAAGAAACTAGAATTGTGAGTTAGTGACCTTATCTCAGGTGCACTGGTGAGAAAATGGAGAGGAAGCCAGGCCATGGAGCAAGTGAACTGGGCCATAAGCTTGGGTCCCTCTGCTTCCATGTCTGGTCCTTTCCCCATCCCTGTGATTTAGTTTGGATCAGTTCAGCATTCACTGGCGCTGTCTGCCTACCTGGGAGTGGGCAAGGCCCCTGCCCTCACAGACCACTCACAATACACCAAAAACTAGGTGTCGTCCCACCTGTTCCCACCCCTACCCACACCCCCAAGCTGCATACCACAAACATCAGTGTGAATGCAGAAGGGGGAAGGCTGTCACTGCCAGAGGAAGTCTGAGCTGAGCCTTGTCCACTGAAAAGAGGAAGAACATTCCAGCAATAGAACCAGAATGTGTAAAGTGCTGAGGCAAGAATCCTGGCATACTGAAGAAGCTCTAGGAGTTTATGGCTGAGTATGGACCAGAGTGGGTAGTGGAGGATGGGTCTGGGAGGGTGACACTGAAGTCAGTTTATAAAAGACCCTCCCTGGATGCCATGCTGAGGGGTTGGCATTACCCCCTTACCACAGGGAGCCACTGACGGTTCAGAAGATGGGGCTGAGGCGCATCAGTAACCAGGGAAGTGAGAGAGGCCATTCTGACAGCCATGAGGAGGGGTGGGAGAGGCTGCTGACACGGTTCAGGTGACAGATGATGAGGCCTACATGAGGGGACGATGGGCAGGGAAAGCAAGGTAAGCCTGGAGGCAGAGTGCTTATGCCATGGTTCAGGGCTTCTGCTTCGTGACTGACTTGGGCAAGTCTCGGAGGTCTCGGAGTCCTCGTTTTCTCACCCTTAAAATATGAATGATCATACCAACATTAGATTATAAGAATAATAGGTACAAAGTGTGTAAGTGTATAAACTGTAAGTTCTTCACAACCGAAAGAGAAATGGGATGCTGGACAAAACTGGCAGGACCTGCAGTGACCCTGACAACTTCCCCTCCCTGCCCATTTTGGTAGGTTGGTACCTGGCCGCTTTTCTCCTTGTTGCTTTGTTTCTTCTGCCCACTGAGACCCTGACTTTTGGGGGGCCTGGGTGGGGGGGGTTGGTTCTTGAAAGCCGGTAACCTCCGAAGGCTGTAGTAGAAGGCATCTGTCAGCTCCTCCACCGTGGCTACAGGGAGAGGCCCAGCCGGCTGGCCTGGCTGCCCCTCGGCCTCCACGACAGTCAGGTCCAGCCACCGGGGAGGGATCTCAAAGCACATCTCAGGGTTGGAATTGAGGCTGACCACCAAGAAAGGTTCCATGATTTTCTCCTCCAGCCGCAGGCCTGGGAAGGAGGGCAGAGGGTCAGCAGGATGGCTGCTGTCCTTGGCCACCACCTTGACTTCACAGGGCAATGAAAAATGGGCAGTCAGATCTTCCAGACTATAGCGCCGACTATCACTCATCTCTTCCACAAAACTACCAGAGAAGTAAAGGGGCAGCAGAATCTGGTCATCTTCTTCTACATCTTCATTCTCTTCCTCCTCCTCCTCTTCAGCCTTGTCACTCAGCCGCTGACACACCAAGACATCTATGTCCCTGCCTTCAGCCCCGTGGGCCTGGCCAGATCTCAACACCTCCAGCCTGTCGCCCACAGCCAGGGAAGTGAACCCAGGGCTCTCCACCCCTTCGCCCTCACAGTCCTTTGTGGCCACTACCCGGAGTGGCTGGCCTGGCTGGAGAGCACCCAGGAGATCATAGGCTGTGGGGAACTCTCTGGGTCGCCGCCGCAGCTTGCCCTGATAAGCCCCAGAGACCATGAAGTGTCTGGGTATCTTCCGGCCCTTGGTTGAAACCAGGACCCGCCAAGGTGGTGAGGCCAGGCCATGGATACAGAGCTTCTGGCCTTTCTGCAAGGAGCCTGCCCATGGGCTGAGGAAGATGGAGGGCCCCTCCGGAATTTCCAGGATCTCCATGCACAGAGGAAAGGGGCCTCCCCGGGCCAGGGCCTCACTCAGCAGCAGTGGTTGGATGAAATGAATGTGTTGAGAGGAACTAGTGACATCTTCCACGTCGACCTCCAGGCTGGAGGGGATCTTGACAATGGTCCTGCGCACTGTGGAGAGAGATCAGCTCAGAGGCACTCCTCACACCCGCCCGGGGGTGCCCCTCCACCCCTGGCAATGATGTCTGGGCTGCCTGACCTGTTCCTATTCTGTTCTGGCAGCATTTTCCTGTGGTATCAGATTCCTTAAGCATTCTGTTCTTTAACCTCTTTTCAAAAGCTGTTATAGAAATTGTTAAAAATTTGGGGATCCCTGGGTGGCTCAGTGGTTTAGCACCTGTCTTAGGGCCCACGGCATGATCCTAGAGTCCTGGGATTGGGCTTCCTGCATGGAACCTGCTTCTCCCTCTGCCTATGTCTCTGCCTCTCTCTCTCATGAATAAATAAATAAAATCTTTAAAAAAATTGTTAAAGATTTATAAAAGTAGAATAGTATAGTGAACCCCCTGTCACTATTTAACATTTAATGCACAGCCTATCTTCTTTCACTTATACCCTGTCTGTCCTCCACCACTGATTATTTTTAATTAGAAAAATCACATCATGCCATCTTGATCTTTCACCGTATCTCTAAAAGGAGTAGTTAAAAACCACAATGCCGTTACCATATCTAGATAATGATGATTTGATAATTCATTAATAGCATCAGATATCCAATTAGTTCAACCACTGTTTACATTTTTAAATTTTGAATGTAATTTTGTAAGCTACCTTTCCAGATCCTTTCTGCATTTTAAGTATAAAACCACATCAAGAGGGGCACCTGGGTCGCTCAGTTGGTTAAATGTCCGACTCTTGATTTCGCTCTGGTTATGATCTCAGTGTCGTGAGATCGAGCCCTGAGTCTGGTTCCACTGTGACTATAGAGCCTGCTTCAGATTCTCTCTCTTGGCAGCCCTGGTGGTGCAGCGGTTTAGCGCCTCCTGCAGCCCAGGGTGTGATCCTGGAGACCCAGGATCCGGTCCCAAGTCAGGCTCCCTGCATGGAGCCTGCTTCTCCCTCTGCCTGCGTCTCTGCCTCTGTCTCCCTCTCTCTCTGTGTCTCTCATGAATAAAAAAATAAAGATTATCTCTCTCTCTGCCCCACCTCCCCATTCATGCATGCTCTCCCCCAGAAAAAGAAATTAAGGAAAACACTGGTTGGGGCTCCTGAGTGGCACATTCAGTTTAGCGTCCGACTCTTGGTTTTGGCTCAGGTCATGATCCTCAGGGTCTTAGCGATCAAGCCCTGTATATGGGTTCTGCACTCAGAGCAGAGGCTGCTTGGGATTCTCTCTGCTTCCCCCTTTGCCCCTCCTGCTTGTGCGCTTGCTCTCTCTCTCTCTAAAATAGATGCATGGGGGATCCCTGGGTGGCTCAGCGGTTTAGCACCTGCCTTTGGTCCAGGGCGTGATCCTAGAGTCACAGGATCGAGTCCCACATCAGGCTCCTGCATGGAGCCTGCTTCTCTCTCTGCCTGTGACTCTGCCTCTCTCTGTGTCTCTCATGAATAAATAAATAAAATCTTTAAAAAAAATGAAATAAATAAAAAAATAAAATAAATAAATTAAAATAGATGCATGCATCTTTAAGAAAAAGAAAAACACTGATTGATGACCTTGGCAACTTGTTTCCTTTCTGGGCATCGATTAATACCTGGTTTATAAATTCAAGAGGTGGCTCCGCTGTGTTTGAGCCATATCACACAGAAGATGGAGCAAGGAATATCCTTCTCGTTTTATAGATGAGGACACTGAGGTTCAATGTGACTTGCCTCAGGTCACAGTTGGGATTTTTGCTTTGTGCCAGGTGAGCTAATAGCTGGTTGAAGCTGGTAGATGGGCATGGGGAGTTCATTATACTGTTCTGGCTTTTTTCTTCAAAGCACTTAATGGATTACCTGAACTGCCTCATTATCCAGGGCAGCCCCCAAGCCCAACCCACCATCAAAAGCCTTTGTTCCCCAGACTGTGGTCTCTTACTACTATTTCCCACAGGATTCCAGGGCTCCCTGGGAAAGAGAATACTTCCTAGAGAGGAAATGTGCAATGGTCTGGAACATCTTACACCAGAAACTAAGAAAAATCTATTCGAGACCATGCAGGTGTGTCACAAGGATTCAGGAGCCAAACTGAAAAGGCTCCCATAGGTCAAAGCTGAGATGTGTGAGCATCAATAATAATTCCAGTGGATTGGAACACTGAAAATATTTCATCTGTGAGTTCATAATGATGATTTTTTTATTTTATACATTAATTTTTATTGGTGTTCAATTTACCAACCTACAGAATAACACCCAGTGCTCATCCCGTCAAGTGTCCCCCTCAGTGCCCGTCACCCATTCACCCCCACCCCCCGCCCTCCTCCCCCTCCACCACCCCTAGTTCATTTCCCAGAGTTAGAAGTCTTTATGTTCTGTCTCCCTTTCTGATATTTCCCACACATTTCTTCTCCCTTCCCTTTCACTATTATTCATATTCCCCAAATGAATGAGAACATACACTGTTTGTCCTTCTCCGGTTACTGTGGCCAAGTTCATGATGATTTTTTTAAAAACCTAAATAATCATCCTTGAAGAATGCTAGGGAGCCAATCCATTTTAAAAGCTAGTAAACAGGTGTCTGGGTGGCTCAGTCGATTAAATGTCCAACTCATGGTTTCAGCTCATGATCTCAGGGATGTGAAATCAAGCCCCGAGCAGGCCTCTGCACTCAGCATGGAGTCTGCTTGAGATCCTCTCCCTCTCCCTCTGCCTCTTCCCTATGCACATTCTCTCTCAATAAATAAATAAGTTGTTAAACTAGTAAAGTATAGGTCATTTCTTAGGGTGTCCCTCCATGCAGGCTAGAGGCATTGTGCAGAGCACTGCTCATGAAACAGGACCTGGCCAGGTCTGCCAGAGTGGAGGTAGAATGGTATCCTGGAACCTCGACATATATAAACACAATGTCCCATATTTATTTCTTTTTTTTAAATTTTATTTATTTCTTAATGAGAGACGCAGGCAGAGGGAGAAGCAGGCTCCACACAGGGAGCCTGACTTGGGACTCAATACCGGGTCCCCAGGATCATGGCCCGGGCTGAAGCCGGTGCTAAACTGCTGAGCCACCCAGGCTGCCCAATGTCCCATATTTCTTGTACAAATTAACCAAAGGGGCATAGGGGCTTTTTATAGTAGTTTCCTAATAGACGAATGAGGGACAATAGGATTAAAATCACTATCTCGGGTCCTAAGGATATCATGGATCAGGTAAGGATCAGCAACAGACACTCACATTACTAATGCTGGCCCATCCATTGTATTTGACTATATCACATGGCAAGGTTGGCGCTGCAAGTTAGGTTGGTGACAGACATAGAGCCAGGTGGGGACTCCCTGCCCCACACCTCATGCAGCAGTGAGAACTGCCTCATGTGTCTGGTCAAAACTCTAAGTGCCTATTTACAGATGGACAGAAAAGAGCTAACAGTTGGCCTGAGGAAAGCTTGCCTGCAAATTTGGTCCTTGGCTGGCATCTGAGAACATGGTGTAGCACGTGTTCCCACCATCTTCTAACTGGTGGGGGCGGTTTCCTGTCCTTAGACTGTACAAAATAGTCAGTGATGCTGAACACCTGCTTTCTGTATGGAAGTCCGGAATTTTGGTATGTGCTAAGCAGAGGGTAGTATGTGACCAGCGCCTGAGAAAAACCTTGGGCACTGAGTCTGTGAGCTTCCTTGATAGACAACACCTACATGTGTTGTCATAGTTCAGTGCTAGAGGGATTCGCCAAGTCCTGTGTGATTCCACCAGAAGAGGACTCTCCTTCCTCTTGCTATAATAAATCATGGCTGTGAGTACAACCATATGTGAAGGAAGTCCCATGAGGCCTCCCAGGGGGTCATCAAACCTGGGGTGGCCTTGGGCCCAACACAACAGGAAATACAGGGGACAGAGGCATGCTGGCACCAGCACAAGGATGCCGGCAAGAAAATCCAAAATGGGAGAGAGCCCACAGGACGAATGGCCTAGGCCTTTCAACAGATTAATTATAAGAAAAATAAGAAACGTGAATCTATAGATTAACAGATTTAAGCCTAACAATCAACAGCAATGTTTGCATCTTATCTGGATCCTGCTGTGAATAAACGGTAAAACAATTTATGTGGGGGATCCCTGGGTGGCTCAGTGGTTTAGCGCCTGCCTTTGGCCCAGGGTGTGATCCTGGAGACCCAGGATCAAGTCCCATGTCAGGCTCCCTGCATGGAGCCTGCTTCTCCCTCTGCCTGTGTCTCTGCCTCTCTCTCTGTGTGTGTCTTTCATGAATAAATAAATAAAATCTTAAAAAAAATTTATGAGACAATAGAGGAAATTCAAACACCAAGTAGTAGTATTAGGAGTTACTGTTAATTCTTTTTGGTGTGATGATGGTATTGTGTGTCTGTTTAAAAAAATTATTTTTAAAAGAGAGACACTGAAGTCTTTGTATGAGAAATGATAGGATACCTGGGGTTTGTTTTGAAATAATCTGGCAGGTGGGGAAGAGATGAAACGGGATAGATAGGTCATGAGTTAATAATTATGATGTCAGGTGATGGGGTCCAGAGGTTTGTTATCCTAGTCTGTGCTTGTATTTGAATTTTTCCACTACTTTTTCCACTACTAAACTACTTTATTGTAGTTTTCAAAGATTCTGAAAAATCAGGAATTCCCTGATAAGGAATTCCCACCATAGCCCACCAGCAGCCATGACCAGCTGCTCCCCAGGTAACTGCCAGGGAGCTGAACCTCAAACTCTACCCTCCAGGGAAGAGGCCCCAGGGCACCTGTTCCTCTGCCTCTGCTCCGACTGGGCCTCCAAGTGGCCAAACCTGGCCAGGTCTGCCTGTTTCACCAGCCCTGCTCTGCACGCTGCTTCCAGCCTGTCCTAAGAAATAGCCCGTGAAACAGCTAAGGATTCACCCGGTGCCCTCATCACCCAGACAGGAGGGTTTTACTTTGTAACTGTTGTTTTGTCCTAGTTGCTAGCCAGTTCACAATCCCAACTTTTGCCTGATTTTATAAAACTGCTATGTAGGACCTCACAGTTAAGTCCCCTCATTTTCCTGTCTCCTTTTATACCAAACTTCCCACTATTTGGGAGTCTTTATTCTGTTATATTGTAATGTACTGAGTAAGCCACCTGGTACCTTCCATCTGTGCTGCTTCCCAGGGCCCCCCTCTGACCCCACCAACCTGCCCAGGCAACTCACTGTGCATGATGGCTTGGACCTCATACTGGGGCCTCAAGATCAGGGTACGCCAGGGGAGGGTTGGGCAGGTGAAGAGGAGGTTGCTCAGTGCTGGGTCCTGCAGGGCCTTGAGCAGGGGCCGAGGGGCACCGGGCTTCCACTCCCAGAAGGGCCCCTTCTGAGACAGAGGCAGGTGCAGAATGAACGGATGTGTTTCAGTGTCTAGTACACAGCGGGCACAATAGGTCCCATGGTGTGTCTCCACAGCCTCGAGTTTAAGGGGCTGGTCCTCAGGCACCACTCTGGCCTCTGTGGTGATTCTGTGGGTCGACATGAAGCAAATGGGCAGCGTCTTGGAGCACTGGGTTGCAGCAGAGAGCAGCTCCTCCAGGGTCCCATAGCTCTGACAGCCAGTGAGGGGGCTGAAGTAGCCTGTGGGGCACAGCAGAGGGTGTCAAGGCAGGACAGGCCTTTGCAGGGTTCAGAGCCACGTATACCAGGTCCTGTCTGCCACAGAGAACTCAGTCAGAATTCCCTGGAGACAGGCCCCAAGCATCTAGACATCCAGGCTGCAGGGCTGAGGGACAAGTTCCTCCTCGCGCGGACAGGCAAGAACACTGAGGGATGGTTGCCAAGGACAGAACAGCAGTGTGTTTCCCAAAAGACACACTGACAATGACATTTGCCTACATCCTGAACCGCACCTACCTCCAACTTTGCTTCCATACTCCTCACCACTGCTCCAATCCCGTACATCCGACACCTATCACCCCATGCGGGGCAGTGCCATTTTCCTTCTCTCTCAAACTAGAAACCCAGGAGCTCCTAGCCAAATGACCTCAGACTACCCCCCTTCATCCTGTCTGCCAGTTCTGGTGGCCCGACTTGTTCTTCACCCACCTCTTTCCCCTGTCCCCATCCGCTCTTCTCCTGCCACTGTACTGGCCCTAAACACCCCACATCCAGACATAACATTGCTTCCAGAGTTTTCCTGCCCCAAAATGCCCCACACAAGTCTAATCAAGGCCACATCACACTACACCCACACTGAAGGACATTCTCCAAAAGTACCAGTCTAGACTCTACAAAAAGTTGATGTCAAGACAAAGGCTACAGAATTATGCCATCCTGAAGGAGATTAAGAAATCCAGATGTGGACAGCAAATAGATGGGTCCTGCTTTTTTATCCAGTCTGAAACCCTGCGCCTTTTGATGGGGTCATTAAGCCCGTTCACGTTCAGAGTTACTATCGAAAGATATGAGTTTAGGGTCATCATGATATCTATTCAATCCTTGTTTTTGTGGATTGTTCCACTGAACTTCTTCTTAAAGGGGAATTTTAAGAGTCCCCCTTAAAATTTCTTGCAGAGCTGGTTTGGAGGTCACATATTCTTTCAGTTCCTGCCTGTCTTGGAAGCTCTTTATCTCTCCTTCCATTTTGAATGAGAGCCTTGCTGGATAAAGTATTCTTGGTTGCAGGTTCTTCTCATTTAGGACCCTGGATATATCCTGCCAGCCCTTTCTGGCCTGCCATGTCTCTGTGGAGAGGTCTGCTGTTACCCTAATATTCCTCCCCATGAAAGTCAGGGATTTCTTGTCTCTTGCTGCTTTAAGGATCTTCTCTTTATCTTTGGAATTTGCAAACTTAACTATTAAATGTCGAGGTGTTGAACGGTTTTTATTGATTTTAGGGGGGGATCTCTCTATTTCCTGGATCTGAATGCCTGTTTCCCTTCCCAGATTAGGAAAGTTTTCAGCTATGATTTGTTCAAATACATATTCTGGCCCTCTGGCCCTTTCGGCGCCCTCAGGAACCCCAATTAAACGTAGGTTTTTCTTCCTCAGGCTGTCGTTATTAAACTCAACACCAAAGAAACAAACAATCCAATCATGAAATGGGCAAAGGACATGAAGAGAAATCTCACAGAGAAAGACATAGACATGGCCAACATGCACATGAGAAAATGCTCCGCGTCACTTGCCATCAGGGAAATACAAATCAAAACCACAATGAGATACCACCTCACACCAGTGAGAATGGGGAAAATAAACAAGGCAGGAAACCACAAATGTTGGAGAGGATGCGGAGAAAAGGGAACCCTCTTACACTGTTGGTGGGAATGTGAACTGGTGCAGCCACTCTAGAAAACAGAGTGGAGGTTCCTCAAAGAGTTAAAAATAGACCTGCCCTACGACCCAGCAATTGCACTGTTGGGGATTTACCCCAACGATTCAGATGCAATGAAACGCCGGGACACCTGCACCCCGATGTTTCTAGCAGCCATGTCCACAATAGCCAAACTGTGGAAGGAGCCTCGGTGTCCATCGAAAGATGAATGGATAAAGAAGATGTGGTTTATGTATACAATGGAATATTCCTCAGCCATTAGAAACGACAAATACCCACCATTTGCTTCAACGTGGATGGAACTGGAGGGGATTATGCTGAGTGAAGTAAGTCAATCGGAGAAGGACAGTGTATGTTCTCATTCATTTGGGGAATATAAATAATAGTGAAAGGGAATATAAGGGAAGGGAGAAGAAATGTGTGGGAAATATCAGAAAGGGAGACAGAACATAAAGACTCCTAACTCTGGGAAACGAACTAGGGGTGGTGGAAGGGGAGGAGGTTGGGGGGTGGGGGTGAATGGGTGACAGGCACTGAAGGGGGCACTTGACGGGATGAGCACTGGGTGTTATTCTGTATGTTGGCAAATCGAACACCAATAAAAAATAAATTTATTATAAAAAAAAAAGAAAAAAAAAGAAATCCAGATGTGATCTGGAGGCATCTGGGTGGCTCAGTTAAGTGTCCAACTCTTGATTTCAGCTCAGGTATTCATCGCAGGATTGTAAGTTCAAGCCCTGCACTGGGCTTCACACTGGGTGTGGAGCCTACTTTAAAAAAAAAAAAAAAGTGGATACCTGGGTGGCTCACTTGGTTAAGAGTCCGACTTGGGAAAAAAAAAAAAAAAGAGTCCGACTTGATTTCACCTCAGGTCATGATCTTAGGGTCATGAGATCAAGCCCCATGTCAGGCTCTGCACTGGGCATGGAGCCTACTCAAGATTCTCTCTCCCTCTCCTCCTCCCACCCTCCCCCCACTTCGCACACACACACTCTAGGAAAATAAGTGAAAAGGAGAAGGAAATTCCTATTGAAAAAGAAAAATCAATATGTGACCTGAGATTGTCTTCTGGATCAAGGGGAAAACAGCTATAAAGGACAATTATTAGGGCAGTTGTTGACATTTGAATAAACTAGGTTAGGCAGTAGTATTATATCGATACTCAACTTCCTGAATTTGATCATCGAACTATACTTTTATGAACAAATGTCCTTGTACTGAGGAATAATAGTAAATATAAGGAGTAATATTTAGTTGTAAAGGGTTATCATGTCTGCAGTTCATTCTCAAATGGTTCAGAAAAAAATACATAGACATACACATAGTAATATATGTCCTTGTGTTGGAGAACTGGGAAACAATTGGTACATCTGGATAAAGGGTGTATGGTAGTTCTAGCAAGTCTTCTGTAACTTGAACATATTTCAGAATAAAAAGAAAAAAATCCTCAAAAATACAAAATAAAGCCACCACTTCCATATTTAAAACCCTCACTGGCTCCACAGTGCTTGCAAAGATCAAAATGTGCCAGTGCCCCACAAAGCCCTACTTGCAGTCTGCCTGCCACCACTTGCCTCTCACCTGGAACCCAAGGCCTCGCCTGTCCCATTCAGGCAATCTCGGTAAATCATATGTAGAATGAGCGCTCAGAGTATACCTGCTCTGTGCCATGCCCTGTGCTAAGCACTTCATGCGTGGCAACTCACTCAATGCTCACATCAAGCCTGATTATTACAGAGGAGTAAACTGAGGCACAGAGGGGTGCCAGGAACTGGCCAAGATAAAACTAGTAGCTGCCAGAGCCAGGATTCCCATCCAGACTGTCAACTTCAGTGTCCCGGCCCATGGGCCACCAATGCTACTCACCTCCTGCCGTAACTGAGCTACGTCCCTTCTGGAGCACCAGATATGCACCTGTTCCTCCCTGGAGTTTCTGCCTCTGGGAATTCTTCCAGCTCAGGTGCCACCTCCTCCAGGAAGCCTGCACAGATGCCTGTGGCAGGCTACCCCCCTGCCAGGAACCCTCTCTAAACTATGTTTCGACTGTTGTTGCCCTCTCACTGCCATCCTGGAAGGCCCCGGCTGGGGAGGGCTGCACCCGGTTCATCCTGAGCCCCACTCCCCAAACCCCTAGCACAGGGCCTGGCACACAAGTGTCAGCAAATGTTTGGTGAGCGAATGTATGAGCAAACACAGAGACAGGCAGATGGACAAAGACCTGGAACAAAGGAAAGAGCCCCAGCTGAGAGGCAGATGTGATCAGAGATGTTATGGAGAGGGTGCAGCCACCCAGGCTAAGGGCATTGTTGGACCGCTCTGAGGACACCCCAGGCCTTAGAGCAGGGCAGCGATGGATGTGAGAGCGCATGCGATGGATGTGAGAGCGCATGCGCCGACCTAGAGGGGTGGGAGTGCCTGCTGGGGCGGGCGAGCCCACGGGTGTGCCCGGAAGGGGCCACTTGGGAGGAGACACAGCTGCCTTCCTTACCGTGGAAGTCAGGGGTGATTTCCATGGTCTGGCCGGTTCCTGGGTTCTCGCAGACCACCTTCTGGAGGCGAACCTGGGTGACCTTGATCAGGTCCCCCGTGGAGAGGCAGCACTCGTTCCCAGAGATCTCGTAGATGGAGCCTGCAGAGAGACAGACCAGTTTCCTTGTGCAGCAAGAGCCAAGTGCCGGGTGGCCAGTGCCCTGTTCCCCAACAGGCTGTGCTTTGCCTCACCTTCGCACATGCTCCTGCTGCCTGGAGTGGCTTCCCTGTCTCCCCACCACGTGGCCCTCGTTCAGCTGTACTCAGGCAGCGTGCACCCTGCCTTTGCCGGCTCTTAGTGCTGGCTACCCCTCTGCGATAACTTCTCTGGCCTTCTCCACATCCCCGTGCCTCCCCGACCGAGCTCATAGGCAGGGCTGGTCGTCTCAGCATCACTGCAGCTGCACAGGCCGCGTCTAAGCATGTGCTGAAGTCCTGAGTGAGTTAGGCCGGAAGGCCCAAGGTACAGCTACACTGCCAGGCCCTGAGACGGTCGGTGCCTGCCTAGAGGTCACACACGGCCTGACACCCCCCTAGGGTGTAAACTGTCTTTTCTTCTTCAGATGAATTATTTTTAAAGGGAACACAGGGCAGCCCGGGTGGCTCAGCAGTTTAGCGCCGCCTTCAGCCCAGGGCCTGATCCTGGAGACCCGGGATCGAGTCCCACGTCAGCTCCCTGCATGGAGCCTGCTTCTCCCTCTGCCTGTGTCTCTGCCCCTCTCTCTCTGTGTCTCATCAATAAATAAATAAATAAAATCCTTAAAATTTAATTTAATTTTTTAAAAAAGGAGCACAGGAGAAAATGGAGGGCCACTGACAGAGTGGGCCCTGTAGGCAGGTTCTGGGTGCCACCATCAAGCACAGCAGCCCCACTTAACTATTTTCAAGTGTTTAAAGCAATGTCCAGGGCATAGAAGGCACTCAGTAGAGATCTCTCCCACAGGGGGTACAGGCTCCGTCTGCTAACAAGGGACACGACCCCACACACAGGTCAGCCTTGAGGCCACCTGACCCACTGCATTTCACAACAGCCCTGAGAAGCTGCTGAAAATCCTACCCCTTATCCCAGGAAAACGCACCCAGGCTCATAAACTGCAGCTCTGTCTCCAGTTTCAAGGGGTGGTCCCCAGGGCTGGCGGGACTAGCTGCTGGGGCGCCACACTGCGCCGTGACTGCCCTCCGAGGGATGACCGGGTCCCTTTCCTAAATGAGCTGCTCCCGGCTGAGGCTGGGTGGGGTCCCCAGATTACCAGGTCAAAGGGGCCAGAACTGGGACTCCAGCCCAGGGTGTGTGTATAGCTGGATAGCTGGGACACCGCAGCACACTAGGGCTTCGGAGGGTGGGGCCCACCCACCTGCCCCATTACTCACCCCTCTGCGCACCCACCCCCACCTCGCCACTTCCCATGCCTGGGTTCAGGCAAAATGAGGAAGCAGCCATTGTGACACACAGCAGTCAGGGGATGTGGGCAGTAGAACAAACAGCAGAGGCCTGCAGGGAGCCCCCCCCCGGGGGGGGGTCAGCATTTGAACCCGCATCTTCCACGTTCCCAAGTGGACCTGCAAACCCTAGTCAGTGGTGGCTCCTGGATGGCTCTTCTCAAGTCTCCCCCTTTTTCTAGGACTGCACCCCCCTCCCCCTTGGAATCTCAGAACACTGGAGGCTGCTGTGGCCAAGCAAGGGAACGGATGCCACAGGGCATCCCTGCCTTCGTTCGCTTTCGAAGGAAGGAGACTCGCCCCCTCCACCCAGTCCCCAAGTTCCCTTTCCCTCCAGCATCCCCACTCTGTTCCTCGCCACAGTTCCTCCCTCACCCTCTTAGCAGCTTCTGCTCCCTCTGCCGCTGGTCAGTCGCTCCCTTGTCCCTTCAGCCCCTGCTGTGCGCGCATGCCTGGGAACCAGGCGGGCAGACGGTGCAGGTGCGCCAGGAGCAGAGGGCAGGGAGGGCCCAACTCCAGAGCTGACGCATCGGGGAGCGGAGCTGAGGGCGCAGGTGGGCTGGGAGGGCTGAGAGGAGGCGCGCAGGTTGGCCGCGGGGGGGGGGGTGGCTGGCACGAGCCTCCCCACCGCCAGGCCGCCCTCGGGGCGCAGCGCGCTTCCACCTGCGCCTGGCCCGGTTCGCCCGCCGAGGGTCTGAGCTCACTGACTGCTCGTCGTCGCCCCGCGGGGCAGTCTGCGCTCTCGCATCCACGGAAGCAAGAGCCGAGGCGCAGAGACGCGGAGCGGCCCCAGGTGGCACGGGCGGCGGCGGCCGAGCTGGCCTCCCGGGGGTCGCGGGCTCCCGGGCCCTCACTCACCCTGGAAGTACACCCCCGAGCAGACCCGCAGCACACGCGGGAGGGAGGCGAGGTCCAGGGTGCAAACGAAGCTGTGCAGCGACACCGGCTCCATGGTCCTCGCGGCTCCCCCGACGCCGAGCGAGTGGCGGCGTTCCCCGCGCCGAGCCCGCAGCCCCGCCCCGCGGCCACGTGGGCGGAGCCGCCCGCCGCGAGGCGTGGGAACCCGCGGGCGCCCGCTTCCCGCCTCGGCCGGCGGGGGTCTCGGTGGGGCCCCGCGCCTGGAGGCTCTGACCGCGGGAAGCCGGTCCCCACGTCCCTCCCGGGTGGTCTGTGGGGCACCCCGCGGTGGGCGGGGCGCTGACGCCCCAGCCGCCCCCCGCCGGCCCCGAGTCGGGAGGGGAAACGCGGCGGCCTCGGGGAGCTCTGCGCCGGGCGTCGGCGCGGGAAGGACCTGGCGGCCCTGCACCAGGGAGCTCACCCTTTCCGGGATGCTCGTGCCTTCTGGACATTTCTAGTTAAAACTTCTTCCTTGGGCTAAAGAGAAATCTTAGGCGAGAGCCCGCTGATTGGTATCTAACTTTAAACAAATCACTGACTTAAAAAAAAAAAGTTTATTTATTCATGAGAGACACAGAGAGAGAGGGAGGCAAAGACACATGCGGAGGGAGAAGCAGGCTCCTCGCAGGGAGCCGGATGCGGGACTCGATCCCGGGTCTCCAGGATCAGGCCCTGAGCCGCACGCAGACGGCCAACCGCTGAGCCACCCAGACGTCCCCAAATCCCTGACTTCTGAGCCCCAGTTTCCTCATCTGTAAAATAAGGCAAAGGATCTTTTCTTAGCTGGTTGTGAGGACAAAATGAAATCATTTAGGTACTGTGCAAAATTCTTTATTTCACTTTTTTACCACTATAAAGCGAAGAAATAATATAAGTTTGTGGCACCTGGGTGGCTCAGTCGGTTGTGCCTCCGACTCTAGGTTTCAGCTCAGGTCCTGATCTCCCTGCCCAGCTTTGCCCTTTGGGGGAAGGGGAGTCCTCTTGGGAGTCTCTCCCTCCCCCTCCTTCAGCCCCTCCTCCTGCAGGCAGCCCCGCTCCGTGTCTCTCAAGTAAATAAATAAATCTTTTTAGAAAGGTGGGGATCCCTGGGTGGCTCAGCGGTTTGGCGCTGCCTTCAGCCCAGGGCATGATCCTGGAGACCCGGATGGAGTCCCACATGGGGCTCCCTGCAGGGAGCCTGCTTCTCCCTCTGCCTGTGTCTCTGCCTCTTTGTGTGTGTGTCTTTCATGAATAAATAAATAAAATCTTTAAAAATAAATCTTTTATAAAAGAAATAATAAAAGCTAAAAATAAAAGGAATAAACCCTAAAGACATTTGACAAATTAAAAAGAGGACACTTTCCCACTATCCAAATACACTTTTTTTTTTTTAATTTTTATTTATTTATGATAGTCACACAGAGAGAGAGGGAGGCAGAGACACAGGCAGAGGGAGAAGCAGGCTCCATGCACCGGGAGCCCGATGTGGGATTTGATCCCGGGTCTCCAGGATCGCACCCTGGGCCAAAGGCAGGCACTAAACCACTGTGCCACCCAGGGATCCCCCAAATACACTTATTACTAACACTTGGTTGTGTTTCTTTCTACTCTTTATTGTTTGAGTGCAGATTTTACACTTTTAAACTTTTATTTATTTTTAGATATTTTATTTATTTATTCATGAGAGATACAGAGAGAGGCAGAGACATAGGCAGAGGGAGAGAAACAGGCTCCACGCAGGGAGCCCAATGTGGGACTCATGCCCTGAGCTGAAGGCTGACATGCAACCACTGAGCCACCCAGGCGTCCCAAACTTTTTAAAATCTACACTAAAGTTGCAAAAAGCAGATTTCCCATATCCCTCAGCATAGTTTCAAATTCCCCTAATGCTACCCTCTCACATTACCAGAGCTTATTTGTCAAAACTAAGAAACCAGCATCACTACATTAATGTTAACTAAATTGTAGACTTTATCTGGATTTTATCTGCTTTTTTTCTGATGTCCTTTTTCTGTTCCAGAATCTCATCCAGGATTTTGTATTGCATTTAACTGGCACGTCTCCTGTCCTGTGACTGGTTCTCAACCTTTGCTTGTTCTTATAAATTTGACAGGCTCAAGGACAAATTGTCAGCTACTTAGCAGAATGTCCCCGAACTTGGATTTTTTTCTGATGTTTTCCTCATGACTAGGCTGGGGCTGCGGGTTTTCTAGAAGGCTACTACCAAGGGGATATGCCCTTCTTATCATCATCTCTCCAAGGGGGCACAGGACCTAGTCACAGGACTTTTCACTGTGATGGTAACCTTGATCGCTTAGTTAAGGCCACGTTTCTGGATTTCTTCACTGTAAAGTTGCTACTGTCCACTGTCCAAACTCTGTTCTTTGGAAACAAGTCGCCGGGGAAGCTAAGCTCCACTTTCCAGAGTGAGGAACATCCAAATAAAGTACTTGGGAGTCCTCTGTAAGAGAGACGTGTCTCTTTCCCCCATTTACTTATTTATTAATTCAATTATTTATGTCAGTATGGACTGATGGGTATTTACTCTATACTTTGACTTATAATGTAATACTACGCTATTCCTGTTCTTGCTCAAATTGTTCCAGCTTTGAGACTTCCTTTAGGACTTACTTCCTTGGCTCTTGGGGTCCTTTTGCCATGCCTTCATTGTTCTCTCTGAGCACTTCCTTACTGTCCAGTGCTACAAGATGCTCCAGGCTCATCTTTTTTTTTTTTTTTTAAGATTTTATTTTATTTTTATTCATGAGAGACACAGAGAAAGGTAGAGACATAGCAGAGGGAGAAGCAGGCTCCCCACAAGGAACCCGATGCAGGACCCCAGGATCACGCCCTGAGCCAAAGGCAGACGCTCAACCGCTGAGGCACCCAGGTGTCCCAACTCCAGGCTCATCTTGTCTTTTTTCTGCCCCATCCCTACACGCAGCCATTTCTGGTTCCTTTTATTGGAGAATGCATTTTGCATTCACGTGAATTTTGCATCCACGATCCGGTCACAGAGTACTCCATGCCACTGGGTTGCCCATTATTTTGTTTTTTTCTTTCTTTGCGTGAACATTACAGACACCACTGCTCACCCCATGACCCAGCTGACATCAGGTCCAGCCTGACCTTCAAGGAGAAGCTCCTGAATGATAACACTCAACAGAAAATTTTAAAATCCTCCCTTTCCCTTTGCCTTTATCTGTTCCCGGATTCCTGGATGCCGAAGTGGACTTAACAAATTAGTAAGCAAAAGCCTACTACAACCAACATATTGAAATATTTTCTTGCCTTCATCATTTGCAGTTATATATGTGTAACTGTTTAATGTCTCATCAGCAGTTAGAGTGTTGGCTTGTGGGGGCACCTGGCTGGCTCAGTGCGTACAACATGTGACTGTTAATTGGGGTCGTGAGTTCGAGCCCCACATTGGATGTGGAGCCTACTTAAAAGAAAAATTTAAAAACATTGTTTTAAAGATTATTTATTTATTTATTCATGAGAGACACAGGAGAGAGAGAGGCAGAGACACAGGCAGAGGGAGAAGCAGGCTCTATGCAGGGAACCCAATGTGGGATTCGATCTCGGGTCTCCAGGATCACACCCTGGGCTGAAGGCAGTACTAAACCACTGAGCCACCCAGGCTGCCCTAAAAAACATTTTTTTAAACTCAGAACTTACAAAAAAAAAAAAAAGAAAAAGAAAGAAAGAAAGAAAGAAAAAGAAAATAGTTGGCTTCTGGTGGTCAGAGGTTGGAGTACCAGTCTCTTTGCTCCCCAGTGTATCACAGGACCTGGCAAACAGTAGGTGCTCAATAAATCACTGTTGTTAATGACTCACTGAATGAATGGGTGGAAAATGCTTCCTTGAGATAGATCCCTTAAGTGGAATCTCTGGGTGAAATGGTATGCTGGTGTTTATAGCTTCTGAGGGTGTATTTCAGTCATGTTGAAATGTTGCTGAGCCTCCAATGGGGCAAATAAGATAAGGAAGGAGAAGACCCATTGCAAGAGCTGAGAGGAGTGGCAAGCAGATGTATGCCAGGGACTACAGGGCCACGGGCCCAAGGGGAGGGTATGCTAAGCAGAGGAGATGGGACACAGGGGGCATTTCTGTGTTTCTAGAAACATTGGCAGGTGTGATTCTGTGGGCACCTACTCTGAGCAGGTTCAGCACAAACATATGCTCACCTAATTCTCTCTATAAGGGATCCCTGGGTGGCACAGCAGTTTAGCACCTGCCTTTGGCCCGGGGAACGATCCTGGAGACCCGGGATCGAATCCCAGGTCGGGCTCCCGGTGCATGGAGCCTGCTTCTCCCTCTGCCTGTGTCTCTGCCCCTCTCTCTGTGTGTGACTATCATAAAAAAAAAAAAATTCTCTCTACAAGCAAGACAGACATTTTATTTTTTTAAAGATTTTTATTTATTTATTCGTGAGAGACACAGAGAGAGAGAGAGAGGCAGAGACACAGGCAGAGGGAGAAGAAGGCTCCACGCAGGGAACCTGACAACATGGGACTCAATCCCGTGTCTCCAGGATCACGCCCCGGACTGAAGGCGGCGCTAAACCGCTGAGCCGCCCGGGCTGCCCAAGACAGACATTTTCATTCCCACTCTGCAGGTGAGGAAACCGAGGCTCAGAAAAGTATTCCCTGAGATCATGCAACAAGAAAGTGGGGAAGCTAGGAATTTTCTTTTTAAGTTTTTAATTATTCATTTGAGTAATCTCTACCCCCCCCCCCCGTGGCGCCCTGGACTTGCAGCCCCGAGATCAAGAGCCGCATGCTCTCCCCCTGAGCCAACCAGGCGCCCCAGGGAAGCCAGGACTTCCAAGGCAGCCTGGAGGAGAGGAGGCCAATTAGTCACCTCTTCCTCACGTGTTTCAGCGGACCAAGAAGTCTGAAGGATTTCCGTTCGGTTAGTTTGGCCTAGAATCGCAGCAGAGGATGAAGAATAAAAAGAGGGGCTTTGAAAATCGAACTGGCCTCAAAGCCTGGTTCTGTCACTTCTTAGCTGTGCGACCTCGGGCAAGTTCCCTAGCCTGAGTTTCGGTCCCCTGTATACCATGGGCACTGGCGGG